CAACGATCTTCGACACGTTTGCGACAACAACAGGCAAGTTTTAAGGCAGAAGGAGATGTCCCTTCTAGGAACATCCTTGCTTCTGACTCCCCATTTAAATTGTTTTGCAAGAAGACAAAAATATTCTTGGGTTAGGAAGGTTAACAAAGACGCAAGCTAATCTAATCTGCACAATATTTGCAAGTGTGAATGCAAAATGGTAAACAATATATGGGCTGAAGTAAATTGGAATTCTTATAGATATTTTTACAAATGAATATATATATTTCAGAGCAGCAACATTGTGTGTTAGCTGCGGGTAGCCACAACTGGCTTTATCTGCATATATGCTAACTACAAAAGCAGCTCACCAATAACAACCAGTCGTTGGCTACTTGGCTAACTGGCTGCCGGTCGGGCCATAAAAATTAGAAACGAAACGAAACAAAATAAATAAATAAGGCAATAACAATTCACCTGGGCAATAGTAGTGAGGGATTTTGTGTTCTTCGCATTTTGTAAATAAGAAAAAGATACATACTCTAGATTCGATAAATAAAAGATAAAAGATGTGGTGCTAAATCAACCAAGAGTCTTTATCTATGAGCTTTAAAAATGAATTTTATATTTTCCATAGGTATAGTATTTATTTATTAATTATATTATTTAGTTCTAGTTGAGCACACCCCTACTTAGGGTATCAAAGGCAGTAATATATTTTTAATTTCCCCGGTACGCGCATTTTTTCAATATTCATTATTTACTTATGCCGACGTTGGAGAATGGTGATGTCATGGCATTGCCTTCTCGTTTTTGTTTATTATTTTTATACGTTTGCAGGGAAAGATTTATATTTAAGCCTATGCAAATATACACTTATGATCAGTATCAACAACAGAATCGATCTAGTAAACGCCGCGTATCTGTTTCATCTTTTTCTTTGTAAGCTATCTTAAAAACTTGGTAGATAGTCTTGTTTTATTACACGACTGTATCATATATCTGTTATAGGAATTTCATAAATTTCGAATTATTAAATGTTTAAAAGTTAGATTTACTTTTCATTTGATCAAAATATATAGCCTTTTAATTATTCAACTCCCAACTGAAAGGGTATTCAAACTTCTGCGTTCTCTAGTTACTTTTTTCCCTTGTGATTTGTATACCCTTTTAGGGTATTATAAGTTCAGTCAGAAGTTAAAAAAGCATTGAAGGAATCATTTCCGACCCTATAAATCATATATATTCTTGATCAGCATCAACAGCCGAGTCGATCTAGCTAGGTCAGACGAAAATTACATTTTTTAAAAAAATTTTCAATTTTTAAAGGCGTAAAATTGTGACAATTGAATTTTGAAAAATTGTCCAAAATTTAAATTCTCTTAAATTTTAAATGGAGTATGCAGATTGGTTAACGTATTAATAACTAGCGCAGAACAGCTTTCCGAATTGAAATTAATGCATTTTTGGCTAACTTATGATCGATCGAACATACTAACCCATGATCCTATGCCTTACTGCAAGGGTATACACACTTCGGCCTTCAGAAAGGAAGCTTTCTTATTTATAATATTATTTTACAATTACTTAAGGTTACTGTTTTTGTGTTGTGGCGTGTATGATGATTGATGGTCTCAGCAAATGCTATGCAACAGTCTTTGACTTTATTTGAGATCTACGAATACTCAAATGTGTCCATGGGTGTTACTGCCGAGTGTCTATTTAATTATACAAGTTTGAGTGGGAGTTGGACTGTGATTAGTAATTCCCTTATAACATCTTGACTGCCTCTAAACTTTTATAGGAAGTGGAATAACCCTTATATACTAAAATTTGTATTTAATTTTAGCAGAATGTAAGCCAAGTTTCCACTCAAAATGAATTAAATTAATTGAAAGCTATACCTTTTTTATAAATATATATATTTTTAAAAATTCCATGGTATTGGTAGCTTTTCCTGGAAAGTCTTTCACAAGAATAGCCCAGAGAAATTCCTTAAATTGCATTTGCATTTTTAAATTCTTTAAATTTTGGCATCACAGCTTAGCTTATCTGTGTGTTTTTTAATTATAATTTTAAATTGGTTCTTTAAGCTGTCATAAAAATTAATTAGTGGCTGGGGAATCTCTTGCTGTTTCCACTAAAATTCTTGCATTTTTCGTGAAGTATTTTACTCATTTCATTTTGGCAAAAAATAATAAAAGCTTGAGAGATATTCTTGACAGTTTTAAAGGCATTACAACTAGTACCTACAAAACTGTACTATCTTGCAGATACTTTTTTGTTTTTGGTTTATTTTTGCGATGCTGTGACTTTGAGCTATTTTGTTTTGCTTTTGGTCTTTCAGAAATGTTTTTGTTTCGTTGTCATCGTTTTTCATTCAGGTCTCAATGTTAAATTCAGTTCACATGGCTCGGCGTTTTCCCGGCTTCCCCCAGGGGGGGGAGGTATTATTGGATGGTATTTCTCAGTCTCAGTCCCAGTCCAAGTTCCAAGCTCGAAGCTCTTTTGCCTCACCTCGCCGCCTTGACAGCTCGTGAAATTTTTGCTGATTCTTTTTGCTGGCATCGGATTATGCAAGTTCAGCAGAATTTTATGTTATATTTTATTTTATTTTCTTCTCTTTTCTTTTTTAGTTGCTTTGCTATTGTTATTTTCCTCTTGTGCTCTGTGCTTTGCTTCTTCCGCCTTTTGGAATGTCGAGCGTCTTTTCTGTTGTTATTCAATTAAGTTTATTTTTTTTTCTGTTGTCTTCTGGGTTTTTTCTTTCATTTATTATTATTTTGTAGTGGGAACTCTTGAGCATTGATTTCATTCTTCTTTTGTATTTATTTTTTGTCGCTTTTGATGGTCACGGAATTGAGAATTTATCACGTTTTGGGCCATTTTCATGAATAACATTATCTTAATTACGGCCATCACTATTCAGTTTGACAATCATTGCCTGAACCCCAATGCCCCAAATTCGTTCCACGCCCCACCAATGAACGGTAATCACTTAGGGGGCTTCCGCAACAATTGCAACAGTTACCATCACCCCACTTTCCACCACACACCACCCACCACCCACCACCCACCACCCACCTCTTAGTCGCAGTCTCAGTCTGGGTCTCAGCTCACCTCTGTTCCCACTATCCCCCAGTTGCCTTTGTCAACCCTTTACGCTCATTAACTCATCGCCGAGGCCCTCGACGGGATTTGCTTGGGTTTGCACAGCAAACCACCACCCACTCAACCACCCACTCGCCCGTCCACTTGCATTTCCACCTGGTCATCCCCACCTGGGGTTCGGGGACATTCAGCTGCAGTTGAATGAATACCCTGTAAGCTGTGACAGTGGATAAGGGGAATTCTGGATATCCTAGTAACCTTGAAGACATCTTGCAATGGGAATAAGATAAAGAACAAAGTGATTGCCGAAGTTTGTATACCCTTGCAGATTGAACTTCGATCATTAGGAATTAATACAATATAAATGTATATAAAGTAATTCATTTCATTCACCGTTTTTTTCATTTTCCTCTATTTAATTTTAACGATCGTTTGTACGGCAGCTATTTGATATATTAGTCCGATTTTTATAAAATTTTACACAAAATTCTAGATTTTTTATATAATGTTAATGTTGTTGTTAATGCTATATGTTAAATTTGATGAAAATCTGTTGAAAACTGATAAAGTTATAAATATATTTCTTAAAATGTTCCGATTGTTCCTATGGCAGCAATATATATTTATATATATGTACATATCTAGTCCACCGATTCGCCATGGTCCGACTTATATACTAGTAAAATTATATAGAAGAATGAATGCATAGTTTCATAGATTGCACTTATATTTGTTCCAAGAGAAATCTCGCGCATCTGTGCATATGATTCCCAACTTGTTCTAACCTCCCCGGAACGAAGTGAGTGCTGCCAGCCGAGTCTCAAATATGTGTTGTGTTACAAAAGTTGCAAGTCATTGTTTATTAGTGTTCGAAGTTAGTAACTGATCATACATACATACAAACTGGTCATAGATACTTACTGCTAATAGCTTATTACTGCTCTTACTTAATTACTGATCATAGATACTCACTGTTCAAAGTTGCGTACTGGTCGTAGCTAATTACTGCTCATAGCTAATTACTGATCATAGATACTTACTGTTCAGAGTTACTTACTCCTCATAGTTACTAACGCACTTTTGTGTTTATGATTCCCAACTTGTTCTAACATCCCCGGAACGAAGTGACTGCTGCCGGCCTAGACCAGATATGTGTTGTGTTACAAAAGTTGCAAGTCATTGTTTATTAGTGTTCAAAGTTAGTAACTGATCATACATACTTGATGGTCATAGATACTTTCTCACCATGGATACTTACTGATCATAGATACTTACTGATCATAATTACTTATTGGTCATAATTACTTATTGGTCATAGATACATACTGTTCAAAGTTACTGACTGGTTATAGATACTTACTGTTAAGAGTTACTTACTGGTCTTAGATACTTACTGATCAAAGTTAATTACTGACGAATGATACTTACTGATCCTCTACATTTGACAGCCGTTTCTCTGGCAGTTATAATATACAGTATTCCGATTTTCATAAAACTAAAAACGAAATTCAATTATAATAAAAGATAGTTTTGAATCAAATAAAATAAAAATATGTTAAAAATTTTAAAAACTATTACAGCCCTGAATTAATGTTACTTTATACTATTTTCCACCACTTTATTAACAATAACTTGTTAATAATAGACAGGAAAACATTGCTTCCAAATTACTGGCACAGGGTACACCCTTAGTCCATCACCTGTGCCCCGTTTTGCATTCTTTGTGCGATTCTATGGCCCCTGGTCGGTTGCCACTAATTAAATTAGCGCGATTGTGGTGAATGCGGATTAAGTGCGCCACTTAAGAGTCAACGCCCAGTTACAGTTATCGTTACATTTTGCCCACCTTTCCCCCCACCTTTCACCTGGTCTCCCCCACTAACCGCCATACGCAATCCTTTTATCCGCAGGAGCAACTACGCCGTCGACGTGAGGAGGAGGAGCGCATCGCTCAGCAAAATGAGTTCCTGCGGAACAGCCTGCGCGGCTCAAGGAAGCTCAAGGCACTGCAGGACACGGCCAACCTGGGCAAGGTGGTGGCCCAGCAGCAGCAGCAGCAGGTGACACAGGCCACACAGGTGGGCGTTGAGAATGAGGCTTACCTGCCCGATGATGACCAGCCGCAGGTGGAGCAAATTGATGGTGAGTCAAGTGGCTTTGCTATTTATTTAAAATGTATATTATGGTTACATTTGATCTAATTGCGATCTATTCTCTCCAGGTTATGGCGAACTGATAGCGGCCCTGACCCGCCTCCAGAGCCAGCTGAGCAAGAGTGGCTTAAATGCTTTGGCTAGTCGCGTTTCCACGGCTCACAGTGTCCTGGCCAGTGCCAGTGTGGCCCATGTCCTGGCCGCCCGTAGTGCCGTGCTCCAGCGCCGTCGTTCCCGCGTCTCTGGACCTTTGCATCACAGCTCCCTGGGACTGCAAAAGGATATTGTGGAACTCTTGACGCAATCGAATACAGCGGCGGCCATTGAGCTTGGCAATCTACTGACTAGCCACGAAATGGAGGGTCTACTGTTGGCCCACGATCGGATAGCTAATCACACCGATGGCACGCCATCACCGACACCAACGCCTACACCGGCAACGGCGGCAGCGGCGACGACAGCGACAGCTTCAGTGGTTGGAGCCACTCTTAGCGGTCACAGCAGTCCAGTGGCCGGACCAAAGCGTAACCTAGGCATGGTAGTGGCACCACCGGTGGTGCCATCACCCCTGGCGCAACGTGGAGCAATGCCATTGCCGCGTGGCGAATCACCACCACCGGTGCCCATGCAGATGCCCATGTCCCTACCGATGAGCGCCTGCTTTGGCACTCTGAACGATCAGAATGATAACATCCGGATCATACAGATTGAGAAGTCAACGGAGCCACTGGGAGCCACCGTACGCAACGAGGGTGAAGCGGTGGTTATTGGACGCATTGTGCGTGGCGGAGCGGCTGAGAAGTCCGGCCTCCTGCACGAGGGCGATGAGATTCTCGAAGTTAATGGCCAGGAGTTGCGTGGCAAGACGGTGAACGAGGTGTGCGCCCTGCTGGGAGCCATGCAGGGCACTCTAACCTTCCTGATTGTACCAGCGGGATGTCCACCTGGAGGTGTTGGCATGCTGGGCGGCGGTGGAGTTGTCGGTGGCATTGGTAACACCACGTTAGCCGGCTTGGGCGGAGCGCATCGTGACACTGCTGTTCTACATGTCCGAGCGCACTTTGATTACGATCCGGAGGATGATCTGTATATACCATGCCGTGAGCTGGGCATTAGCTTCCAGAAGGGTGATGTCTTGCATGTGATCAGTCGCGAGGATCCCAACTGGTGGCAGGCGTATCGGGAGGGCGAGGAGGATCAAACACTGGCCGGCCTTATTCCTAGTCAATCGTTTCAGCATCAGCGTGAGACCATGAAGCTGGCCATTGCCGAGGAGGCGGGATTGGCAAGGTCCCGTGGCAAGGATGGATCTGGTAGCAAGGGTGCCACCCTGCTCTGTGCGCGCAAGGGACGCAAGAAGAAGAAGAAGGCCAGCTCCGAGGCGGGGTAAGCATGAAAGGGGTACCAGGAGGGATGTCCCAGAAAAAGTCCAAAGACTATATAATCTAGAAACCTTTTTCGAGGAAATCTGAAGCCTGGACACTTGAAAAGTAACCTCAACTAATTATATCTCTTCCCCTTACTAGTTATCCTTTGTACGCCACCACGGCACCGGATGAAACGGATCCGGAGGAGATACTCACCTATGAGGAGGTGGCCCTGTATTATCCCCGCGCCACCCACAAGCGTCCCATTGTCCTTATTGGTCCGCCCAATATTGGCAGGCATGAGCTGCGCCAACGCCTGATGGCCGATTCGGAGCGATTCTCTGCCGCCGTGCCACGTAAGTAGAAGGTTCCCATCTTCCTATCTCCATGATCCCACTTAATGAGGATGTAAGCCACTCTGTCTCTGTATCTGTCTCCGTCTGTCTCCCATATCTGCCTGTCAGTTTTCTACTTGCTGGAGGAGCGTCTCAAGCCGGCCAAGGCCAAGGCTCAGGTCAAGGGTAATGGCTGCGCTTCAGAGTCCGAGTCCCAGAGCCATTGCTAGTCAGTTAGCAGCATCCCCAAAAAGTTCCCAACCCAAACCCATATCTTTAAGTTAATGGCACAGGCTTATTGTTAACCCATATTTTCCCTTATTTTCCCGTAGATACATCACGAGCCCGCAGAGAGGGTGAGGTGCCTGGCGTGGATTACCATTTCATCACACGCCAGGCCTTTGAGGCGGACATACTGGCGCGTCGTTTTGTGGAGCACGGCGAGTACGAGAAGGCCTACTATGGTGAGTTTAAATAGGAATTGAATTGAAGGATCGGTACTAATTTTCCTCTTGCAGGCACATCACTGGAGGCCATACGCACGGTGGTGGCCAGCGGCAAGATCTGTGTGCTAAACCTGCATCCGCAGAGCCTGAAGCTGCTACGTGCCTCCGACCTCAAGCCGTACGTGGTGCTGGTGGCACCACCCAGCCTGGACAAGCTGCGCCAGAAGAAGCTTCGCAACGGCGAGCCCGTTAAGGTGAGTCTCAAAATAGATTTGATATATTAAACAATAACTAAATTGTATACCACTTTTCCATGCCAGGAGGAAGAGCTCAAAGACATCATTGCCACGGCCAGGGATATGGAGGCCCGTTGGGGTCATCTCTTTGATATGATCATCATTAACAATGATACAGAGCGTGCCTACCATCAGCTTCTGGCCGAGATCAATTCATTGGAGCGGGAGCCACAATGGGTGCCCGCCCAATGGGTGCACAACAATCGCGACGAGTCATAATGATGGAGTGCCCGGCCCGGTTACCATGGCGGGCAATGCACCTGCACCCAAGCCCACACCCAGCCCCAACTCTTTGTAAATACAATTTTCAATTGAGCCATGAAGCGGAGAGATCGAGAGAGAAGTATTGACGCCCGTCTCCCGTCCAGTCCAGTCCTTGCGACTCCCCCACCACCATTCCCACGCTCCAATATAATATAATATAATATATATATATATTTATGCTATTCGTTGCATTGTGCATTTTAGTCTTAGAGCCGAAGGAGCGTTTTTAATCACTGTTTGTTGTCCCCGCGAATTGTTTATTTTTTTTTCGAAATGGCATCAAGCTCCTAAAGTATGTTCACAAAACTCCATTTGTTCGATGAACTCCAATAATAATATTAGAATATTATTGTTTACCTGCCTACCAGCTAACTTTGCAAAATGTATATTGTAAACATTTTCGATCTATATTATTTGTTTTTTTTTTAATATATTTTTTTTGTTTATTCTAAGCTGGAGCACTTCCTTAATTTAAATTGTAAAATAACGAAGGAGCGGCGAAGGGAGTTTTATGTAGTTGTGAGCCCTAAAAAGTAATGTGTAATATTAGTAACAAGAAACTTTTTAAGAGCAAGATGTAGTAAGTGCTTCTAACAAGTGCATATTTAGAATGCTTACACAAAAACTTCCAAGAAATCCTGGAGAACACCTCTAGAGCTTTTACGTTACTCATCTTGCTATTAAAAGGTCCTTGTTAGTAACCAACAGGGTCACGATGCGTCCGATTGTTAACAGAGTCAGAGAACAGTCCGGGAGAACCAATCACCGAACATAAATCCATAATTCAGATGCACATCCAGAACATGATGCTGAACGAGATTCAGATTCAGATGCAAGTGTTGCAATTACGTAATCTATTTACTTTATATAAATATATACTATACGGATATAAATACATACACATAAATTATAAATCGAAGCGTACTTAATACAATTATTTTTAACAAATCGAATGAATGCATGAGAGAAAGCTAAGCAAAACACAACTAAAATAAAAAAGAAGCGAAACAACAAAATCAGTAAGTCATTGCCAAAAAAAACAAAAAAAAAACAAAAAACGAAAAAATGGAAAGAGAATGTTAGGAGAATCACTTAGCAAAGCCACACTACGAGCGAAATTGTTAAAAACAAATTCAAAACAAGAAAACGAAATGTAGCCAACGTTAAGTACTGTAAAATAATGGAAAAAATGAGAAAATAATGGAAGTAAAGTAGAAAAAAAAGGGAAAGTCAGAGGCGAAAGAAAAACGCATTAGACTAAGGCATCAAGACAAGAGAAAACCCAATTAAATGTTGTTGTAATTAATTATTTAAAGTTAAAATTCGTCTACGAAGCGGAAGCATGGAAAATATATGTAAGTTGGTTTCAACTCCAACCTCAACTAACTAACTAACGGAGCCGACATAGTTGCGAGTTTTAGGCATGACGATACGAAATATATAGAAACCTATACAAATTCCATTGAGAAGTCAAGAATTTTATATTATAAAACAAAAATGAAACGAAAAAGAACAAAGGGTCAAGTAAGGAAGATAGCAAACTACATAAATGTTACGCGATGTTGAACACTTGAGCGATTCGAAAAGCGAATGATATCTATATATATATATATACCTAAAAATAAATATACCTGGCCTGGTCCCCGGTCCCAGTTTCCATTTCGAGCCATTTCGGCCTAGTCGAATGTGATCCTTCCCCCCACTCCGAGTCCGAGATCTTATCTTATCGGGATCCCCGATCGATTCTGGAGAAGCTGAACTCCTCGCCATCCAAAACCCAACAGAGCTGCACCGAAATAGGAAATGGCACCTGGGACCCGACTCCAATAATATTAAAACCAATTCGAAACATATATATATACATATATATATATATATATATTTTTTTTTTTGTAGACGAAATACAAGAAAATGTGTGTGCAGTAAATCTGTTTAAGTTTTTATTTATGTATGTGTGTGGTGTAGCAAAACTAAACTAAATAAGAAAAAAAAATACCTTAAAGAAAACAAAACAATGCGGATTACATAATAGGCACGGTTTAAAATAGCCATTGTACGAAATTAACGGAATTAATGAGTAACCCTAACGCAACAAAAGCGGACAAAGTCAGATGAAATAACGATATTAATAAAAATAATAATAATACAAAAAAACGAGAAACCAAGAAATACAAAATTTAAACAAATAATTGTTTTTTTTAATTCAATCTATAATTTTTGCAAAATTAATTTCTAATTTTCTATGTGCGAGAAGTTAAATCCAATTCTAGCTAATTCAAGTAAACGCATTAATGCAATACAAATGGCTTGCCAACATTAAATTCAAAGGTAGTGCAGTTTCGTCCTGCTGCCCGAGACGGTATGCTAAAATTTATCTTCGACAAAATATTTAAGGCACCGCGAAAGTATGCAGTTAAAAACACCCTACAAAAAAGTACTGAAAAATGACTGGTTGTGAAAAATGATATGGTCACACCTCCATGCTGCACATGGCTCCATGTCGCCTGATTGTCACTGCTGCACATGGCTCCATATCAGCTGTTTTAGTCAAAGCTCTGTAAAGCTGCATGCCTGAAGCCGATTGTCAAAGCTGCTCGTGGTTGCAGGAAACCAGCTGAAAGTCAAAGCGGTCACACTTCGATGTAAAAGTAGTGAAAAATGAGTTGGCTACGCCATGGTAGAATTATACAAGGTAGTCTCGTCGGCAAAAGCACTCCGCTATTCATTACTCACAACAAGTGCGAGTGAGAGGAGTCTGCGTAGTAAGTGCGAGTGAAACGACAAAAGAGCTTTTAGTTTAGCCCTTAGATGGGCCATGGGGGTTAAATTGTTCATACATAGTAAAAAGAGTTGAAGTGTTTTATAACTTAATTTTTAATAGTTTGGAATTTGACATTAATCTTTGTTTTTGTTTTTGTAAAGCTATTTTTTTGTTTAAATTCTTAATTTTAAAATATATCCGAATCTTAAAGTAAAATTTTTTATCTAAATTAATGTTTATGTTCTTAGCAGAACGACATCGCACACAAGGGTTAATAGTAAGAAAAAAATCGTCCGCACACAACCTTTCTGCTTGACAAACACGAACGCACTGAAAATAAGCCGAACGGTTAGGCAGCCGACGAGACTACCTTGTATAATTGTATCATGGGCTACGCTGCAAAAAATTTCCCGTAATGTAAGGTTGGCAAACTAGCTATTTTATAGCTAGATTAAGCTCTGAGCTTTAAGCTCTAAGCTTTAAGCTCTGCTACAATATAGCTAAAAGGACAACTCTAATTTGCAGCTCTTGCACTAAAATTAATCAGCTTTCTGCGGTTTCTGTTCGCCTGGTACTCCAGGCCCAGAAATTTAAAATTTTGCACTGAAACGAACCAAACTGAAAGCTCGTTTTTGCCGACAACAAAAACAAAAATACGCTTGTTTTCTAACAACGACAGAGTATATCCATTATAAATGTAGGTAACTCTATAAAAAAGGCTTGTTTAAGTGTAGTTTTGGGTTTTTATTTAATTAAATCATGTTTCGCATATCGTTTTCGTATATTTATGTAATATTTAGTTTAATTCGCTGATAAGCAGCTTTCGCTTTGTGTGGAGGATCAGGAATCGGGCGTCGGGCTTAGCATTGGTATTAACTTTGGACACTACAGTAATAATTTGGTCTGCTCTGCATCCGAATCGTTGGTGGATTGGTGTGTTGTTCTTCCGTTCGTCCTCTTAGATGACCGCCTCAATAACCGTCCCTTTTTCAGCATTCTTCTTGACCAGCCTTTCCCACTGGGCAGTGAGGCCTCGCGATTAGGGCGCCTCCTCGGGCATCAGATCACAGATCTGGGCCAGCGACATGGCCGGACGCATCCCATTAATGCTGCATTCAGGCTGCGGTTGCCAGCGGGCTTGTGTACGTTCTCCAGCTCGTTGCTTTTGATATAAGAATGAAAATTCAATGAGAATCAAACTTCTTTAAGTAGGTTATCTATCCTGTACTCACAGCTTGTCCAGCGAAGCCTTCAGTGTGTTCTGCTTGTTAATCTTGCTCAGGCGCTTCAGCTCCGTCTCGCATCAAGCTCCGTCTTGAGGTCCTGCAGCTCCTGGTGGATCTTCTGCACGTTGACGAGTTGCCGTTCTCCAGGAAGGCCAACCACGTGCGTGTGTTCAGCTTGAGGGTGTTGCAGATGCTGCAGGGCTGCATCACGCCCTTGGTAGAGGCTTCACCGAAGGCAAACTGACGCTTCTGGGGCAGGCCGCTTAGCTGCGCAGTGGAAATGGTCCTGGTGATGAGCTTCTGCTGCGGCGGCTCCGGTGTTGAGGCAGTTGGGTCCAATGTAAGGTGCTCCTGGCGGGTGACCACGGTCAACTTGAGCGGCTGCTGCTTGGACTGGAGGTTGTTGTCGCTGTGCGAGGAAGCCGAGATGCCCGTGGCATCCGAATGCCGGCCATCGAGGCTCTCCTCCCTGTCGCTGTTCACGCTAGAGGCCAGCGATAGTGTGGTGGATAGCTCATCAATGGACAGCAGGAGCGAAATGGTATGCACTGCCGCCGGCCGGTCTGTGACCAGCACGCCCTGGTCTTGATCCAGCTCTTCCTGATCCTGTGGCTTCTCCTGAGCGCATTCACCATAACCAAAAACGTGGGATGTCAAAGCTGCACGTGGTTGTCTGCCGATAGTCCCAGCTTTACAGGGTTGTATGCTAGCAGCCGATCCACGCTGCTGCCATTGCTGGCTCCATTGACATATAGGCGGCTGCCTTTAGACTGCTATTGCCAGCGGGCTTGTGTATGTTCTCCGGCTCGTTGCTTTTGATATAAGAATGAAAATTCAATGAGAATCAAACTTCTTTAAGTAGGTTATCTATCCTGTACTCACAGCTTGTCCAGCGAAGCCTTCAGTGTGTTCTGCTTGTTAATCTTGCTCAGGCGCTTCAGCTCCGTCTCGCATCAAGCTCCGTCTTGAGGTCCTGCAGCTCCTGGTGGATCTTCTGCACGTTGACCAGTTGCCGTTCTCCAGGAAGGCCAACCACGTGCGTGTGTTCAGCTTGAGGGTGTTGCAGATGCTGCAGGGCTGCATCACGCCCTTGGTAGAGGCTTCACCGAAGGCAAACTGACGCTTCTGGGGCAGGCCGCTTAGCTGCGCAGTGGAAATGGTCCTGGTGATGAGCTTCTGCTGCGGCGGCTCCGGTGTTGAGGCAGTTGGGTCCAATGTAACGCTGCCCCTGTCGGGTGACCACGGTCAACTTGAGCGGCTGCTGCTTGGACTGGAGGTAGTTGTTGCTCTGCGAGGAGGCCGAGATGCCCGTGACATCCGAATGCTGGCCATCGAGGCTCTCCTCCCTGGCGCTGTTCACGCTAGAGGCCAGCGATGGTGTGGTGGATAGCTCATCAATGGACAGCAGGAGCGAAATGGTATGCACTGCCGCCGGCCGGGCTGTGACCAGCACGCCCTGGTCTTGATCCAGCTCATCCTGATCTTGTGGCTGCTTCCGAGTGCATTCACCATAACCTAAGACGTACGATGTCAAAGCTGCACGTGGTTCCATGCCAGCACCCGATAGTCAAAGCTGCTTATGGTTGCTTGCCAGCAATCGATAGTCAATGCTGCACATCGTCACTGATCGTCGCTGTGGCACGTGGCTGCAGGCAACCAGCTGAAAGTCAAAGTGGTCACACTTTGATGTAAAAGTAGCAAAACATGAATTGGTCGCACTGCAAAAAGCCTTTGATAATGGATATGGTCCCACCTTTTTTAAAAGTAGTGATGGCCGCCTTAATAGCTTCCCATTCTCGGCGTTCTTCTTGGTCAGGCTTTTCCACTGGGCAATGAGGCCTCGTGATAAGGGCGCCTCCTTAGGCATCAGATCACAGAGCTGGGCCAGCGACATGGCCGGACGCATCCCATTTATGCTGCCATTGCTGGCTCCATTGGCTATGTAGGCGGCTGCATTCAGGCTGCGATTGCCAGCGGGCTTGTGTACGATCTCCGGTTCGTTGCTGTTGATATAAGAATGAAAATTCAATGAGAATCGAACTCCTTTAAGTAGGTTATCGAACACTTGCCCATTTCTATCCAACTCCTGGGTGGACTGGGCATTGCCCAGTTTTTCGGATCCGTAGCAGTGCTCCACCTCAACGTCGTCCGCATCGGCCTCGTCTGTGCTATGCTGGCTGGAAACGAAAACACGTAAGATGATACGAGGATTCGTGAAAGCCTTGACGTGAACTCACAACTTGTCCAGCGAAGCCTTCAGTGTATTCTTTCTGTTACTCTTGCGCAGGCGCTTTAGCTCCGCCTCGCGCGGCTTGAGGTCCTGCACCTCCTGCTGAATCTTCTGCTCGACGCAACGGCATGCCCTCTGAGTCCCGCTCGATGGCTGCTGGTGATAGGGTGACCGTGGTACTGCCCGTTGGCGAGTTGCCGTTCTCCAGAAAGGCTAACGCCGTGCGTGTGTTCAGCTTGAGGGTGTTGCTGTTGGTGTTGTTGTTGCTGCCGACTTCCATTCTGATTGCTCCCTGAGCTGCTAATGTTGCCCAATGGCGAGACGCCCTTGGTAGAGGCACCACCGAAGGCAAACTGACGCTTCTGGGGCAGGTCGCTGCTCCTGGCGGGTGACCACAGTCAGCTTAAGCGGCGGCTGTTGCCGCAGAAGTGGTCTGCACTGCCGCTGGCCGGGCTGTGACCAGCAACCCCTACTCTTGATCCAGCTCATCCTGATCCTGTGGCTGCTCCTGAGTGCATTCATCATAACCTAAAACGTAGGATGTAAAAACTGCACGTGGTTGCTTGCCAGCAATCGATAGTCAAAGCTCCGTATCGTTGTATGCCAGCAATCGATAGTCAATGCTGCAATGCTGCACATCGTCACTGATCGTCGATGTTGCACGTGGCTGCAGGCAACCAGCTGAAAGTCAAAGCGGTCACACTTCGATGTAAAAGTAGCAAAATATGAATTGGTCGCACTGCAAAAAGCCTTTGATAATGGATATGGTCCCAACTTTTTTAAAAGCAGTAATGGCCGCCTCAATAGCCTCCCATTCTCGGTGTTCTTCTTGATCAGGCTTTTCCACTGGGCAATGAGGCCTCGTGATGAGGGCGCCTCCTTAGGCATCAGATCACAGAGCTGGGCCAGCGACATGGCCGGACGCATCCCATTTATGCTGCCATTGCTGGCTCCATTGGCTATGTAGGCGGCTGCATTCAGGCTGCGATTGCCAGCGGGCTTGTGTACGATCTCCGGTTCGTTGCTGTTGATATAAGAATGAAAATTCAATGAGAATCGAACTCCTTTAAGTAGGTTATCGAACACTTGCCCATTTCTTTCCAACTCCTGGGTGGACTGGGCATTGCCCAGTTTTTCGGGTCCGTAGCAGTGCTCCACCTCAACGTCGTCCGCATCGGCCTCGTCTGTGCTAAGCTGGCTGGAAACGTAAACACGTAAGATGATACGAGGATTCGTGAAAGCCTTGACGTGAACTCACAACTTGTCCAGCGAAGCCTTCAGTGTATTCTTCCTGTTACTCTTGCGCAGGCGCTTTAGCTCCGCCTCGCGCGGCTTGAGGTCCTGCACCTCCTCCTGAATCTTCTGCTCGACGCAACGGCATGCCCTCCGAGTCCCGCTCGATGGCTGCTGGTGATAGGGTGACCGTGGTACTGCCCGTTGGCGAGTTGCCGTTCTCCAGAAAGGCTAACGCCGTGCGTGTGTTCAGCTTGAGGGTGTTGCTGCGGGTGTTGTTGTTGCTGCTGACTTCCATTCTGATTGCTCCCTGAGCTGCTGATGTTGCCCAATGGCGAGACGCCCTTGGTAGAGGCACCACCGAAGGCAAACTGACGCTTCTGGGGCAGGTCGCTGCTCCTGGCGGGTGACCACAGTCAGCTTAAGCGGCGGCTGTTGCCGCAGAAGTGGTCTGCACTGCCGCTGGCCGGGCTGTGACCAGCAACCCCTAGTCTTGATCCAGCTCATCCTGATCCTGTGGCTGCTCCTGAGTGCATTCATCATAACCTAAAACGTAGGATGTCAAAGCCGCAAATGGTTGCATGCCAGTAATCGATAGTCAAAGCTCCGTATCGTTGTATGCCAGAAATCGATAGTCAATGCTGCAATGCTGCACATCGTCACTGATCGTCGCTGTTGCACGTGGCTGCAGGCAACCAGCTGAAAGTCAAAGCGGTCACACTTCGATGTAAAAGTAGCAAAACATGAATTGCTCGCACTGCAAAAAGCCTTTGATAATGGATATGGTCCCACCTTTTTTAAAAGTAGTGATGGCCGCCTCAATAACAGTGTCGTTCTCTGCATTCTTCTTGATCAGTTTTTTCCAATGGGCAGTGAGGCCTCGGGATGAGGACGCCTCCTCGGACATCAGATCACAAATCTGGGCCAGCGACATGGCCGGACGCATCCCATTAATGCTGTCCACAGCAGTGCTTCACCTCAGAGTCCTCATCGTCATTGTCATCCGCATCGGCCTCGTCGTCTGTGCTGAGTTGGCTAGAGACGAAAAACGTAAGATGATAAGAAGACGATTCTTGAAAGCCTTGATCTGTACTCACAGCTTGTCCAGCTAAGCCTTCAGTGTGTTCTGTTTGTTAATCTTGCTCAGGCGCTTCAGCTCAGTCTCGCATCAAGCTCCGTCTTGAGGTCCTGCAGCTCCTGCTGGATCTTCTGCTCGGCCTGCCTTCTAAGTTCCGCTCGATCGCTGCCGGTGATAGGGTGGCCGTTGTAATGCCCGTTGGAGATGCCGTTCTCCAGGAAGGTCAACGCCGTGCGTGTGTTCAGCTTGAGGGTGTTGCTGTTGTTATTGCTGCTGACTTCCATTCTGATTGCTCCCTGAGCTGCTGATGTCGGCATAAAGCGCTTCCCGTAGCGAACTCTTCAGCCTTTACTTGTAGTGGGGAATCCTGCCACGACAAAAGAACAAAAAGTTTAGTGACTGCCAAATCTCTTCGATGCCCTTCAAACCCACTTTGATATTTCGTAAAGGAAGCGATCGGCGCGTGCCAGTGACTCAATATCCTCGCTATGCTCTTCCAACAGTGCACGCTCCTCCGCCGAGGGCGGGAACTTTAGTAGATGCTAGACCATGTCGAGTGTCAGCTGCTTGTTGCTGTCCATTGAGAGAATGGCCCTAGAAGAGAAGAGATTAATATTTGGAACCAGGAGGTGACCAAACCAACTCCTACTTTGATATCTCATATTCAGCTTGCCTAGCAGGATGGTGCAGTTCTGGGCCCGGCCCGCATCGATCTCTGAGAGCACCTTACTTGCTTGGTTGGCTTGCCTCCAGTTGCTCGCAGATCCTCATAGGAGCCATCGGTAGCCTGTGAAAAGAGAGCAGAGCATTAAATAATTAATAATTAATTCTTGAATTGGAATCTCTTCTAGACACTCACCGATACCGCATTCTTTTGGTAAGCCGAAAAGAGTTTGTCTAACGACTCCAACTCCATGTTGTTATACAGCTTGCTTTCGTCAAGCTCGCTCCAGACGGTGCCCTAGATGCAAAGGATAGAAATTAATTTATGTGACGCTCCTTAACTTAACTTAATTCTGTACTCACCCATTGCTGGCGCATTGCTGCAATTCCTCCGCCTTAATTTCGGCAGTCTGCACGCGCTGCACGGCCTGCGAATGTTGAGCGGACTCCTCCAAACGTTCGCGCATGCGTGTCAGACCCTTTTCAAGATCCTCCTTCTGCTGCATGCCTGTCCGGAGTTAAATTTTTTAAAAATTTACAATTTTATTTTATTTATTTTTTTAATTTTAAATTGAGTTTGCAGATTCAATAACCTGATAATAACTAACACAAAGAGCTTTCCGAATTTTGTATATGAAATTCAAAACTATTTCCTAATCCAGCTCTAAATATTGTTAATCCTGATAACAACAACAATAATTGACATAATCAAGAAGTTCTGAAAATAATATATATAATCAAATTAATAAATAAACACCAGCTGTTACCAAAGTTGAAGAATGAAATAAGGCTAACTAAAATTATTGCTTTTTTTGCTGAATTACGAGATTTTTAAACTTTGATTTGTCAACAAATAATATGCATGCAAAAATATATAGTTCAATAATATTGCAGAGAGTATTATAATTTCAATCAGCGGAGGTACGATCATATAGAGCCGAAATTGACTCCTTCACTGATTAAAATTATATTTTCCTTTGCAAGAATCTTAAAATCCAAATTATATTTTATCATTTTTATACCCTTGCATGGTTTATAATTTTACTCAAAAGTTTGGAGCGCAGTAATAAGGATAAAGTAAACATATTCTTGATAAGCATCAACAGCTCTCTCCCTTCCTCCCTCTGTCTTACTCTCTCTGCCTCTTTTTATCCGGTAGGTCCAACTCCCACTGTGCATCTCCAGAGCTAACTCTTTCTCTGTATGTTTCTCTGCCTATCTCTTACTCTCTCGCTCTCACTTTCTCTGTTCTCTTGACTCGGGAACTATAAATAGAGGCACTTCGTTCGCCGCGAACTCAGTCTGTCCTAGGGGTACCTAGTGTTTACATCGATAGTGATAGTGATTAAAAGAATGACGTGGCCAATAAAATACATCTGGATAACCAGGAAGTGATCTTCGATATTATGAAGTCAACAAGATTTGAAGTCTACACTGGAAGGAAGTAAACAATTACGTGTCCTACACTCAGGTAAGTCTTAATCATGACAATTATATTATTATATGGAAGGAAGTAAACAATGACGTGTCCTCCACTAGGGTACGTCTTAATTATGACAATTATTAAATTCAATTAATTCCCTTATTGCCATGGATCCTAATACTTAATTTTAATTGAAAGTGATTCAGTAATTTGTATTGATGATATCTACAAACGTATACTCAAAGTTAAAAGCCTAAATTAATTATAAGATTTTACTCTTTCGATAGTTTTAAAACTGACCTTGACCCTAGCTAGACCGACTCGGCTGATGATGCTGATCTAGAATATATATATAATATTTATAGGGTCGAAAATGACTCCTTCACAGTATTACAAGCTGTCGACAAAAATTAGAATAGTATAAAAACTCACCTGGTCAGGGATGAACGCAACTTCTCCTGGACAACACGAGTTGTCTTGTCCTCATCCTCACCGTACCGGTTACAGTCGTACCATAAGGAGCCGTGCGGCTCCCAGGAGCCGAGTTCTGGGTCTTGCACACCATATGGTTGCAACCGCCTTCTTTCTCAGTGGTCACACTGCACTTGGAGACTCTTTGGTATTGGCCGCGACATAGTTGGACGTTTCTGAGTTGTCGTCGCACTTCTTAATCCACTTCTTTAGCCAGCGGCATTTGACCGGATCGGGATTGGATATAAGATCGCTGCTTGGCCGCTGCTCCACCTGCAGCACAACCTCCTGGACCACGCGATTGCGCAGTTTTCCGGGTCCATGCAGTGCTCCACCTCAGAGTCCTCATCGTCATCGTCGTCCGCATCGGCCTCGTCGTCTGTGCTGAGCTGGCTAAAAACGAAAAAATGTAAGATGACAAGAAAGATGACTTGAAAGCCTCGACGTGTACTCACAGCGAAGCCTTCAGTGTGTTGTGCCTCTTATTCTTGCGCAGACGCTTCAGCTCCGTCTCGCGCGACTTGAGGTCCTGCAGCTCCTGCAGGATCTTCTGCTCGACGGGAACATAGCCTCGACGCAACGGTCTGCCCTCTGAGTCGCGCTCGATGGCTGCCGGTGATAGGGTGACGGTGGTGATGCCCGTTGGCGAGTTGCCGTTCTCCAGGAAGGCCAATGCCGTGCGCGTGTTAAGCTTGATGCTGTTGATGTTGGGGCTGCTGACTTCCATTCTTGTTGCTGCCCTGAACTGCTGATGTTGCCCAATTGCGAGGCGGGCGGCAAGTGACTATTGGGTATCACCAGCTTGCCGTGGGAGGCAATAAACCACTGCATCACGCCCCTGGTAGAGGCCCCACCGAAGGCAAACTGATGCTTCTGGGGCAGGCCGCTTAGCTGCGGAGTGGAAATGGTCCTGGTGATGAGCTCCTTCTGCGGCGGCTCCGGTGTTGAGGCAGTTGGGTCCAATGTAACGCTGCTCCTGGCGGGTGACCACGGTCAGCTGGAGCGGCTGCTGCTGCTGGTAGTTGGCCTGGAGCTTGTTATTGCTCTGTTAGGAGGCCGACATACCCCCCAGAGTCATCCGAATGCTGGCCATCGAGGCTCTCCTCCTTGGCGCTGTCACGCTCGGATAGCTCATCAATGGTGAGCAGGAGAGAAGTGGTATGCACTGCCGCCGGCCGGGCTGTGACCAGCACGCCCTGGTCTTGATCCAGCTCATCCTAATCCTATGGCTGCTCCCGAGTCCATTCATCATAACCTAAAACGTAGGATGTAAAAACTGCACGTGGTTGAATGCCAGCAATCAATAGTCAAAGCTGCGTATCGTTGTATGCCAGCAATCGATAGTCAATGCTGCACATCGTCACTGATCGTCGCTGTGGCACGTGGCTGCAGGCAACCAGCTGAAAGTCAAAGTGGTCACACTTTGATGTAAAAGTAGCAAAACATGAATTGGTCGCACTGCAAAAAGCCTTTGATAATGGATATGGTCCCACCTTTTTTAAAAGCAGTGATGGCCGCCTCAATAGCCTCCCATTCTCGGCGTTCTTCTTGATCAGGCTTTTCCACTGGGCAATGAGGCCTCGTGATGAGGGCGCCTCCTTAGGCATCAGATCACAGAGCTGGGCCAGCGACATGGCCTGACGCATCCCATTTATGCTGCCATTGCTGGCTCCATTGGCTATGTAGGCGGCTGCATTCAGGCTGCGATTGCCAGCGGGCTTGTGTACGATCTCCGGTTCGTTGCTGTTGATATAAGAATGAAAATTCAATGAGAATCGAACTCCTTTAAGTAGGTTATCGAACACTTGCCCATTTCTATCCAACTCCTGGGTGGACTGGGCATTGCCCAGTTTTTCGGATCCGTAGCAGTGCTCCACCTCAACGTCGTCCGCATCGGCCTCGTCTGTGCTAAGCTGGCTGGAAACGTAAACACGTAAGATGATACGAGGATTCGTGAAAGCCTTGACGTGAACTCACAACTTGTCCAGCGAAGCCTTCAGTGTATTCTTCCTGTTACTCTTGCGCAGGCGCTTTAGCTCCGCCTCGCGCGGCTTGAGGTCCTGCACCTCCTCCTGAATCTTCTGCTCGACGCAACGGCATGCCCTCCGAGTCCCGCTCAATGGCTGCTGGTGATAGGGTGACCGTGGTACTGCCCGTTGGCGAGTTGCCGTTCTCCAGAAAGGCTAACGCCGTGCGTGTGTTCAGCTTGAGGGTGTTGCTGCGGGTGTTGTTGTTGCTGCTGACTTCCATTCTGATTGCTCCCTGAGCTGCTGATGTTGCCCAATGGCGAGACGCCCTTGGTAGAGGCACCACCGAAGGCAAACTGACGCTTCTGGGGCAGGTCGCTGCTCCTGGCGGGTGACCACAGTCAGCTTAAGCGGCGGCTGTTGCCGCAGAAGTGGTCTGCACTGCCGCTGGCCGGGCTGTGACCAGCAACCCCTACTCTTGATCCAGCTCATCCTGATCCTGTGGCTGCTCCTGAGTACATTCATCAAAACCAAAACGTAGGATGTCAAAGCTGCAAATGGTTGCATGCCAGCAATCGATAGTCAAAGCTCCGTATCGTTGTATGCCAGCAATCGATAGTCAATGCTGCAATGCTGCACATCGTCACTGATCGTCGCTGTTGCGCGTGGCTGCAGGCAACCAGCTGAAAGTCAAAGCGGTCACACTTCGATGGAAAAGTAGCAAAACATGAATTGGTCACACTGCAAAAAGCCTGTGATAATGGATATGGTCCCAACTTTTTTAAAAGCAGTGATGGCCGCCTCAATAGCCTCCCATTCTCGGCGTTCTTCTTGATCAGTCTTTTTCACTGGGCAATGAGGCCTCGTGATAAGGGCGCCTCCTTGGGCATCAGATCACAGAGCTGGGCCAGCGACATGGTCGGACGCATCTCATTTATGCTGCCATTGCTGGCTCCATTGGCTATGTAGGCGGCTGCATTCAGGCTGCGATTGCCAGCGGGCTTGTGTACGATCTCCGGTTCGTTGCTGTTGATATAAGAATGAAAATTCAATGAGAATCGAACTCCTTTAAGTAGGTTATCGAACACTTGCCCATTTCTATCCAACTCCTGGGTGGACTGGGCATTGCCCAGTTTTTCGGGTCCGTAGCAGTGCTCCACCTCAACGTTGTCCGCATCGGCCTCGTCGACTGTGCTGAGCTGGCTGGAAACGAAAAAACGTCTGATGATAAGAGGCTTCTTGAAGGCCTTGACGTGTACTAACAGCTTGTCCACCGACGCCTCCAGTGTATTTTGCGTTACGCTTGCGCAGGCGCTTCAGCTCCGCCTCGCGCGGCTTGAGGTCCTGCAGCTATTGGGTGTCATCAGCTTGCCATGGTAGGCAATAAACCGCTGCATCACGTCCTTGGTAGAGGCTCCACCGAAGGCAAACTGACGCTTCTGGGGCAGGCTGCTTAGCTGCGGAGTGGAAATGGTTCTGGTGATGAGCTTCTGCTGCGGCGGCTCCGGTGTTGAGGCAGTTGGAGCCAATGAAACGCTGCTCCTGGCGGGTGACCACGGTCAGCTTGAGCGGCTGCTGCTGCTGGTGCTTGGCCTGGAGGTATTGGCCGCGATTTAGTTGGACGTTTCTGAGTCGTCGTCGTACTTCTTAATCCACTTCTTTAGCCAGCGGCATTTGACCGGATCGGGATTGGATATAAGATCGTTGCTTGGCCACTGGTCCACCTCAGCACAACCTGCTGGACCACGCATGCCCTGGAGCTTGGCATCCAGCAGTTTGGACAAGTTGAAGCTCTTTAAGGAATTCGTGGGCTGTGGCGCGTTCTTTATGTGCCAGCTCCACCTTGAGTGGCACAGTAGCTGCAGGCAAAGGATCAGAATTAATATAAATAACTCTCCTTGGCTTGGCTTAACTCTGAACCCACCCATTGCACCCGGACAGGGCGGCGGTGTTGGTGGCCATCGGTGGCGGCGGCGGCGGTATGGCCTTGAGCATGGCCGAAGGCGGCAGCGGCGGCGGTGGTGGCGACACAGCTCCATTGCAGCCACTCAGATCGGCCACCTTCTGGTCATCGGGTATGCTGCCCTCGGTGACCAGACGCTCAAGATGTGCCCTCTCCTGCTGCTCACTAAGCAAGCGATGCTAAAGATCTACAAAAAGGTTGTTAAAAATGACTTTCACTTTTCAATAATAGTAGTGAAAAAATAGCTGATCACTTTAAAAAAGTTGTGAAAAATTACAGTCATTTTTTCGATATTAAAGTAGTGAACGTTAGCTGGTCGCACTACAAAAAGCTTGTGTTAATTGATATGGCCACTCTACAAAAAAGTACTAAAAAATGACAAACACTTTTCGGTAATAAAGTAGTGAACATTAGCTGGTCACACTACAAAAGGTAATGAAAAACGAGCTGGCCACACTACAAAAATCATATTTTTGAATTGCATACTTTTAGGGGCGCGATGTAGCATACTTTTAGGGTGTAGAATGAATTTTCATAAAATTAAATTTGCTTGCTGCTGCCTTCTGCTCGCCTGGTATTTCAGGTCGAAAATTAGTTGGATTTTGGACCAAAATTAAGCGCATCGAACGCTTGGCTTTGTCTACGACAACCACAGCTTCTGCAACAACAACATCAAAAAGAACAACTAAAACAAACACGTAAAATCTACGAATTGATAAGAATAACCTACCGTGTTTTTCCTTATCTCAGGCGAACATATATACATGCCCGGAATATTGATTTTTTTAAGTTTTTATTTTCACTAATTCTTGCAACATTTCATCTTTAATTATACATACATAGTTTCTCATATTTTTTACAGCTTTTTTTAAATATATTTTTTATTCCACATTATGGTATTTTTCATTTTTTTTCTGTTTTCTTTTAATTCGAACAACTTTAAACTTTTTACATCAATTTAATTTTAATGAGTTTTCCATTTAGTCGTATTTATTATAAATATAATTCATCAGATTTTTTTTTTCTTTGTTAATTATTGTTGTTGAGAATATATAGAGAATGCTGAAAATGGAAACGCCTTCGTATTGTATGTGTGTGAGTGTTTTGTGTGCTTTTCTGCAGGCGGGCTAGGAAACCATGGACAAAACTGTTCTCTTATGTACAACGATTTGCCGCCAACTTAGAGGACATCCGCATCCGACTCTCCTCCCTCCAACGCTTCGCGATAACTATCCATTTTCTTGCTCGATCCAAAGACCTTATAATAACAATATGAGTAAATCTAGACGACGTTTTTGCACTCATTCCGTCTCGAAGCTCCCTTTAAGATCCAAAATCGGATTATAACTTTTATATTTTAACGCTTAAAGTTGTGCTAGGAAGAAAGCATTAAGCATCTTGTTATTATAAGGTACTTTGCTCAATCGTATAGACACTGTCTGTTTGTCTGTTTGTTTGTTGTTCAATTTGTGCTGCGGTTCAGCGGGAGAGAGCAGGGTTAAGCGGGTCCATCTAACATTTACAATATTCTCTGGGGCGGGGTCCACAAACTAAATGGTGCTGGTGGGTGGTCAATAAATCACACGAAAACGTAGCTTCCTCTTCTTCGATCGTAGGAACGAACGAACGAACTTGCTAGGCACAGTTTTGTTTCTAATTTGAACAGAAGGGGACAACAGATAAGGCGAACCCATTAGTTTCTATATAAAAGCTCAACAAACTGGAAGAATTTGAACTCAAGCTGGGACCAGGACTGAGATTTGAACTAAAGGACTATCATCACAACGTCCTGTCCCTGTTTCCGCTTCCGTTTCTGATCAGGATATCAGGATTTATTCGTTAAAGACTAATTTAAAAATAAATTAAGGTAAATGGTCGATCTCTAATTAAAAAAAATTATAACAATTTGAAAGCGAAGAATTGTTTCTTCACTCGGAGATATATGATCGGAAATGGGGAGTAATGCAAACCAGGGCCATGAAGCAAGCGCTAACTTGAAGCCTGACCCCCGGGGAGAGGAAGCTAGAAAGAAAGTCAGGAAGTGAGGAAATCAGTCAGGTGGAAGGGTAGCTTAAGCTGGGCAGAGGTTTATCTGCTTACATTTTAGGTTCTATTGTTGGTTCCACAATTTTGGAGCTTGAAATTTACTAATTTATAGCTTTTTTGTTTTCTTTTCTTCTCAATTCTCTTTTGTTTCGATTTTGATAACATGAAGATCATTTTGCAATTGGTTAACATCAAATAAGTTTGTAACTGTTGATTATTCACTATATATTCATATATATGCTGCTTCTGCTTCTGCTGCTGCTGTTGCTTCTGATCCTTGTGACTGGTAGTGAGTGTGTTTATGAGTGTGTGCTAATCCTGTCCTGCTGCCGCTGCTGCGCTCGTTACGAAGAAAAAAATTGTAGTTTACATTATGCGCATACCTATACGCATATATATATATATTTATATATATATATGTATATATTCTCCACATATATATGCATTACGATTTTATAATAATTTCTCTCGAGAGTTTCACAAATATTTTGAAATAGTTTCATTTGTTTCCGTTTCTATTGCATTTTTTTATTGCATATGCAGTTTTTGGAGCTTCCTCTTCTTGCTTGACTTTTCGTAACATTTAGCATCAGCTTCTTCTTATCCTCAACTTGTGTTCTGTTCTATACATCTTCGGCTTCGGTTTTGGGGGAGTGATTACTTTCGTTCCTATGCGGATGGGATGATAGGTGATCTGTAGAGTTGGAAAAACATCGAGGTTTTCGGGGGTAAACATCCATGAAATCGCCACATAAACATTGATGCTTCTCCGGCTCCACAGATAAGAGTGAATGGGTAGGTGGTGCCTATTGGATGCTGGCCGCGTGCACTGCTTTGATCTGCTCTGCCTGCCGCGCTCAGCATAGCTTAGCTTAATTATCCAGCCATGACTCGCGTCATTCTGTGTAGTCCCACCAATCCGTGTCGTAGCCCTCATGCACGTGTTTTAGCAGAACAGAGCAACGCTTTTCACAATACCTGCCAAAGGGAAGTAGTAATATTAGCATTATGAAAATAGAAATGGGGAAACACCTCACCTGTATTTATCTTGCACTTTCTGCTTAATATCAGCCAAGTTCTCGGATGTAATTTCACGTTCCAAATACTCGGACAACGTTTCGGTTGCCGATTCCAAATCCTTTTGATTATCCTCGAATATCATCGACTGATTGTTCTTCTTCAAATAATACGCAAACACGTATGTGTACATGAGTGTCTGACGGCACTGGCAAAGTATGTCGACAGCCTTTTTCAGAAATTGCACCTAGAATTGACAATGGAAGGGAATTGTTAGCAATCATTCGTTGGTATATTTCGCCAGACTTACCTCTATCCAGGACATGTTGTGCTGCTGCATCTCCTCCATTTTCTGCTTTACGCAGGCATACAATTTGTTTTCAAACTTCATCGACTGCATGTGGTTCATGTACCGATTGTAGTAGTGGAGATACCTGCGGATCAAAACCAGATTTAAGATAATAAATACGCGATAAATACTAGTTGTTAGTTGACAAATAATCACTGATTCATTGCCTTTGTCTTTGACTCGTAACACCTTTCATGTTTTGCAGTCGTTATCAATTATAATGTCAATTAGCAGATAAAACGAACAGTCGTAGTTGAGTAAGCAAATAAAAGAAAATCAGCTACAAACTTAAACGTCAACTTTTCGATATTGCCAACAAAGGATTTTCGGATACAGCTGGGATTAATTTTGTTTGATATTTTAAAAGAAGAAATCTAATAAATTGATTAATTGGAGACATCAAATTTGTATTTTTTACACTACAGAGATCAAAGTCTATTTAGATCAATCGTACAATCGGAGGCCAAAGTTAGATACCCTTGCTGTTTAAATCGAATTAGTGGATCGAATCGATTTTTATCAGTATTAATATATGCGATTTTTTTCGACAAATCAAATTTGAAAAATCTCATAACTCCGCTAAAAAGGAATTCATTTTCGATAGCTGTCCTATGTACGTTTTTATTGGGTTTATAAATCTGCATACTAAATTTAAAATTTACATTTTTTCTGGTTTTCTTTGAAAATATTAATCTTTTTCTCAAAAACTCGACATAAAATTGTAAACATATTTTTCAACCGGACTAAGCCAGATCGACTCTGCTGATAGTGCTGATTAAGAATATATGTATATGATATATAGGTGCGGAAATGACTCCTTCACTGATTAAAATTATATTTTCCTCTGCAATATTGTTAAAATCCAAATTTTATTTGATTATTTTTATATCAGCATCGACAGCTCTCTCCCTTTCTCCCTCCCTCTTACTCTCTCTGCCTCTTTTTATCCGGAAGGTCCAACTCCCGCTGTGCATCTAGAGCTAACTCTTTCTCTGTATGTTTCTCTGCCTATCTCTTACTCTCTCGCTCTCACTTTCTCTGTTCTCTTGACTCGGGAACTATAAATAGAGGCACTTCGTTCGCCGCGACCTCAGTCTGTCCTAGGGGTACCTAGTGTTTACATCGATAGGGATAGTGATAGTGATTAAAAGAATGACGTGGCCAATGGAATACATCTGGATAACCAGGAAGTGATCTTCGATATTATGACTACCCTAATTGAAGTCAATAAGATTCGAAGTCTACACTGGAAGGAAGTAAACAATTAAGTGTCCTACACTTAGGTAAGTCTTAATAATGACAATTATATTATTATATCATATGAATATATATAGGCTATAGGAGGGATCAGGCCTTGGTCTAGATTCTGCTAGCTATGCATTTATTTTTCAATTAATTCCCTTATTGCCATCATTACTTAATTTTAATTTGAAGTGATTCAGCAATTTGTATTGATGATATCTACAAACGTATACTCAAAGTTAAAAGTCTAAATTAATTATAAGATCTTACTCGTTCGATAGTTTTAAAACTGACCCTGACCTTAGGTAGACCGACTGATGATGCTGATAAAGAATATATATGATTTTTTGGGTCGAAAATGACTCCACAGTATTACAAACCTTTAATAAAAATTAGAATAGTATAAAAACTCACCTGGCCAGGGATGAGCGCAACTTCTCCTGGGCATCACGAGCGGTCTTGGCCTCATCCTCATCGTACCGGTTACAGTTGTACCAGGAAGAGCCGTGCGGCTCCCAGGAGCCGAGGCAGACCCAACAGAACTCGTTCTTGCAGTTCTGGTTCTTGCACACCATATGGTTGCAGCCGCCGTCCTTCTCAATGGTCACACTGCACTTGGGACACTCTTTGGTATTGGCCGCGATCCAGTTGGACGTCTCTGAGTCGTCGTCGCACTTCTTAATCCACTTCTTTAGCCAGCGGCATTTGACCGGATCGTGCCAGTTTTCACCGCAGGCGAAACAGAACACATGGCCGCACTTGCAGTGGACACGTCGCGGCTCCGCGTACGGCACCTTTACCGCATAGGTGCAGTCGACGGACGGACACCAGCGCAGCAGCTGATTGCATTCCACAAAGCTGTTGGTGATTAGCTGCTGGTATTTAACCCGCACTCGCGGATCCACCACCAGCTTGGTGACGGTCACATCGTCCACCAGTATATCACAGCCGTGCGCCGCGCACGAGATGGTCTGGCCAAGACCCTCCGCCACAATCTTCGTTGTCAGATACTCGCGCCAGCAGGTCATGCAGAATCGATGACCGCACTCCAAGCCGGTCATTCGCTAAAAATAAATGAACCAATTAGTTGGTAAGAAATTAATATAGAATATTATTAAATTGTGCCCACCATAAACAAAATCCTATTGATTTCCCTTAAGAAATCTTAACCACATCTTTCTATGACTAACCAACATCTGAGAACTCTCCACGGCAGTTCATATGTTTGATGACAAATAAATAATATATAGAGCTCGCTTATCAAACCCGACATAACCAGATTTTAGCTGGCAAAATTGCATTAAATAAGAAAATAGTCAAAAATTGTAAATCAAGCGTCTAAATATTGATAAGATTTGCGTATAGAATAAATTAATAAATACTCTGGGTTTATATTGATTTGAACTCTGCGATAAGGAATTAAACATATGAATCTATATAGTAATTGAGCAAGCACTTGCTTGATATACTCCCACATTAAAGGTCAAGATCTTCGCTCTTTCCGAAAGCACAAAAGGCCCTTGCATGTTGAAATTTCAATGTATGAACGTTATACATGTTGATTTAAAGGATCTCATGGTTATGCCCACAAATCCTGCACTATCTGAGAATTTGGTCATGGAGGCACTAGTTTAGTAGAAATCGAACTTTTTGAGGCACTTACATCTGGCAGTAGATGACAGAAGCATATTTCGCATTCTTCGCACTGACTTCGTGTGGTCTGCAATGGCAAATAGGAAATTTAATATACAAGGGATTTGGATTAGTTATAGTTCGCTTTGGCATTTAGCTTACCCTTTGTCTGACCGCTTCGGTGGCCGTGTTGAAGGGATTTATGACGTGTGCGCATTTAAAGAACTCCTCCGGAGGCTCATCGAAGTACTTTTCGAGCAGCTTCTCCTTGTCCCACTTGAAATGGTTAAGCAGTATCCTCGTAATGGGAATGGGAAGCTGTAAATGCAGATACAAAGGAAAGGCAAATGTCAGTGGATGGTGTACATGGTTTTCATAGACTTAGGGGGTCGGAGACAGCGGGGAAAAGTGTTGGGTTATCATCAACTGCATCCTAATTGGCCTCGGGATCAATGCCAAATCATTAGCGATCAGCAAGCAGCTGAGGCTTGCACACTTGTCGGTATTAGCAATAGGGTAAAATGAAATGTGAAAGCGGATAGATCTTAAAAACGATTTAAATTGGCTCTACTTTTACATGGTTTTAATTATGATTTAAGATAGAACAAACTTTAACCAAAAACAATATGGTATCAAAACATATTCTACATAGGTTATCAACATGAGTAGTTTTTCAGTTCACAGACATTTTAAATAATGTGTTGTGGAATAAATATAAGAAAAGCTTGTCTGTTAATTAAGCCAGCTTAAATAATATGGGTTTAAGTAAAGATAAAACATATATAAAAAGCAACGAACTAATATAATAGCTAAAAACAACATTTGATTTAACATTTACATTATCCATAACATCAGTATTTACATACATGAAAATTAACATGATAACTCACATCGTTTCATGATAATATTATTATTAGTATTAACATTTACTTTGATATTAATATTTATATTTACATTGATATTATTTCCACAGATTTTAAGGTGCTCAAAACAAGAAATAGAAGTGCCATTTGCTTTCAGGTTTTCTCATTTAACCCTATATTACCCTACAAGTTCTTGGAAGTCAACCAAAAATCGGTGAAAGTGAAAATAGGACCTGCATGGTTTTTGTGGCAAATGTGGGATATGGGACTGTGGGGATGCGGATGTGGCGACCTTGTGACGAGTTTTCCCTGGCAGTCAGCAAGCCAAAACAAAAAGAAGCTTTCAACATCGGCGTATGACCTTCAGTTTTATCCCAGATCCCAGGCACAGAGCGCTGTGTGGTGGGTGCAGGGGTGGCGCACTAGGAGGAGGCGGAATGTATGGCCATCAACGTCATAGACACAAGCGCATACATGCACATGCATGCAGTCTGCAAAGGGAATATGCATATGGGAAAGCGGGAACAGGGGGGCATAGGGAATGCGGAAAAGCGGGACAGGGAAATGCCACTCACCTTCAACAAAAGATTGACATCGGCAATGATCTCACGCTGATGCTGGACAAGCTCGTCGGTGGTGAGCACCTTGTATTGGTAGTCATCGGTGTCCAGCTGGCGCTCAGCCGAACTGGGCATGTCCACCTCCATGCCGAAGTCATCGTCGCCGTCGTCGCCCGAGGAGACGTTGCCCGAATCGACATTGTCGCAGAAATCATTGTCATTATCCGAGTCCATCGCTGACGCTACTGATGTTGCTGCTGCTGCTGCCTCGCTCTCTCTCCCTATCTCTGTGGCGCGGCGCTTCCTCCTCCTCGATTGCGTTTTATCTACTCCTTCTGTTTTCTGCTTTCTGTTTTTCACCGTTTTCTTGGCTTACTAATTGATTACTCTGGGCTTTTACTCTGTCTCTCTCTATCTTTCTCTTTCTCTTTATCACCCCCTCCCTCTCTCTCACACTCTCTTGTTCTAGCTGTTGTCTGCTGCTGCGCCTTCTGTGTTCGTTTCGTCTCTTTTGTTTACGTTTTGCGTTTTGAAGGCAGCCCTTTGTTGTTGCTTTATATGGTTTGCATGTTGTGTGGCATGATTTATATACGGCGAATTTTGTTCCACTAGTTGCACTGAACTCGAAACACTTGTTTTTAGTTTCAATCGCAGCTAATTTTATTGCGTGCTGCCTAAAAATATTTTTACAGTTCGAAATCGGATTTCTGAGATATTTGTGGTGGTCCGAAACGGGCACACTGCACTCCACTGTTAACAGAGAGAAACTGCTGATCTAACAGGGCCAGCGCTGCTAACTAACAGTGCACTTGTGCTTTGTTGTTGCGCCTGCACTCTGTTAAACATATGTTACGTCGCTTGTGTGTGTGCGCCTGTATATATATTATACACAATTGTTTTTCTTTCTTCTTTTTCCCTTTTTTAATACGCAGATGGCACGATTATGTTTTCAAGGCGACCACCCACACATGCACACATGCATATATGCACACACAAACGCACACACACGCTCACTGCGTTACGTATGTATTGGCACAGCACAGAAAGCTTATGACTCTTGTTGACTTTTACGCACTGCACAGTTTAACCACGCGTTTCACTGTCGCGTTAGGTGCACTAATTTATCTTTGGTCGACTCGATGTCGAGTTCAGTTGCAAAAGCGATAAAAACGTAGAATTTTGATAATCTTAATTTTGAAACATTCATTTCGAGAAATTCATTGGCTGACTGTCCAGAGGTGGGAATAAAATAGGTCTGCCAATAAGATATTATAATATCGATACATCGATATTCTTCTAAAATATTTCATTCACAGGCTATAGGTGGCGTCTTTACCGCAGACACAAACCAATCATTCACAGGCAATAGGTGGCGTCTTTACCGCGGACACAAACCCAACCGGTAAAGTTTGCCAGGAAACTCGCACTGGTTGTAGTCCCAACAGCACCGGAAAAGCCTTTGTTTCAAATTTTGTGCCAACAAAATGGAGAACTGGACGACTGCATACTTAAAAGGAAATATTTTATTCAAATTCAATATTGATGTTAAATTATTCTTCGAGGGAGGTCCAAAAGCTGGAAAGCCATATTCTACATTACCTTAAAGATTTAAACGAAAAACAATAAAACTTTTTTACAAATTGCTTTTATTTCAATCATTTTATTTCACAGTATATTTCGGAATTTATTTGTTTTATTTCGGAAGCTATTAGCATCGACATTTCAAAATCGAACTGATTCCCGCCTTCTATCTCCATCTCTTTCATATTTGAATCGATTTTCCGTCTCTTTCGAATCAAATCAATCGGGAATGTGAGAGAGATCGCCTGCTATACCCATCTCATTCTAAACAAAATGAATCAATTTTTCCCATATTTGTCTTTTATTAAATTGTTAAATTTCGTACAGCTTGTACTTTAGGTACACGAAATTTGAAAATTTTTTTGTTCTTTTGTATTGGTTAAGGCGCGTAAAACGTTACTTGTTTTGTGTTTAATGCAACATTTTACATGCCTTATAAGACTGGATTTTAAATTATATTTCGGCTTGTAAAGCGTTACGTCTTAAGGATGTGTTTTTTGTGTTTCACAGCACGACAGACGAGTCATGCATGAAAACACCATATGGATTCAGTCAATCTTATTGTTCTTACTGGTCGTAAGACAAATTCTATTAGCTTTTCGATTGAGGGAAACCATTTTATTGTACTTTTTGCTCATTCTTATTCATCTGAGCGCTCAAAATACATTTGAGCTCCCAAATTGTTTGCTTCAGAAATCGGTTTGAACGATGCATTGGAGCTCTGGGCGCTTCGATTACTATTTTTCCTACACCGAAGCAAACCGATCTCCAAAGCTAGTCACACCCGCCGCTTGTCTTACCTTCCCCGAACCCTAAAATAAAAAGAAAATATGATAAAAACTTTTAAATTAAAAATATGCAACGTGTTCAAACTTCACACACACACACAAGGGGGGAAATTGTACAAAAAAAACTAAATGTGCTTCCTGAGCGAAAAAATGTTGAGATCCCGGGAGCAAGACCCACACTCACTTGAAACTAGTTGAAGACTGACAGCAAGCTGGGGTAGGAAGGGTATTATAAATGGGTCACCACCATTTTGTTTGTCACAAAAATACACTGGTGTGCGTGTGTGTGTATCACTTATCTTACCAACTGTCAACTGTACCGCTCGGTTAGACCTATTTAGGGCGTCCCTGACATTGTCCGATTTAGTTTAACTTAAACCAAGTTAAAAAATACTGGGAGAACAAGAGAAAACTAAGCTAATAATGCCCACATGGAATACGTAATCCGTGTGTATGTATACCAGAAAATTATTAACTAATTTGTGTGTATGCGTATGTGTGTTAGTGTTGGACAACATTGTTATAATTCAACTATATAGTTAAATTTGTTACGTTATCCGTAATGTGAGGATTAAATTGCATCCCTACCTCACAAAAATGTTTATATTTGCATTTTAAAGCAAATGGAGAGATCAATTTCTAGGGAAATTGAATTAACTTGAGAGTTAGAGGTGGAAAACACTCGATTTTGAAATCGATAGGCCGATGTTCTCAGTTGCAGCCACATTGATGGCAACCCTAGAATATACAGGGATAAGACGGAAAATAGTGGGAGCGGTATAAACGATGGATTTAATAGGGAGGTTTTATGTGAAATATATAAATGTCTAATTTATTTTATTATCATGAGAAAAAAAATATGAAAAAGAAAAGGTACTGAAAAAATCATCAACCTATTTAAATTTAAACAAACAGATCCTCTTAAAGCTTGTAGCGATAGGTTTGTCACCATTCTATACTTTAAACAAACAATCTGAACACACTTGAGAGATAGAGGTGGGAATAAACTCGATTGGAAAATCGATACATCTATATTTCGCAATTCTTGGTGATCGACTTGAAGTACTAGGAACGGTGAGAATAAGGGGAACAAATAATTTAATAAATAATGGACTGGCACCAACCTTTCAATTTATGTTTATTCACTTTTCTTTTGGATTAGATCAGTCATTCATGTTCATACTCAGGTTCATGTCGCTGGCGTCCATTGCATGGTCAAGCATGTCCTTTCCGCCTGCGGCCAGGACACCGAGCATTAGTTCGCCCTTATCCTTCCGCTTGCTTGGACGCACTTTCTTTTGCTGCTGCAGAGCGGCCACCTGGGCGGCGTGCATCTGCCGACGGTGCTTGTGCATATTTCCCGAATTCTTAAAGGTGCGTTCGCAGAAGGCGCACTCGTACAGATCCTGGCCGGTGTGCGTGGCAGTGTGCTCCTCGAGGCCGCGACTGCTCTTGAACTCCTTTCCGCAATGCGTGCACTTGTGATATTCCTTGGGATGATGGTAGCGGATGTGGGCCGCCAGCTTCGCTCGCGAACCCTTTTCTAGGCCGCACTGCTCGCACTTCCACTGGCGCAGCGAGGCGGCGTCCAGATGCATGTACATGTGCTTCCGCAGGCTATTCTCGTCGGACAGCCAAACCTGGCACTCCTGGCACTGTACCTCCGGCAGCTGGGAGCCCTCACGGTGCACGGTGCGCTTGTGCACCAGCAGGTTCTGTTTCGTCTTGAACTTGGCACCACACGAGTCGCAGATAAAGGGTACAAAGGCAGGATCATGGGTGCGTCTCATGTGCAGTCGCAGGTCCACGGCAGTGCGGAAGCTGTGGAAGGACCATTAGAAAGATCTGCCATTAGTGTTCATATGGATGTTACTCACGATCTGTCACAGTGCTTGCACTGCTCCTTTCGCTCCTGCTGATGCACCCGCGAGTGAATGGTGAGCAGAAATTGCTTGGAGAACCGCTTGGAGCACTTGTCGCAGGCAAAGCTTAACTCGTCCTCGTTGGAGTGGAAGCGTAGCATGTGGACGTCGTAGCTAATCCGGCTGACCAGCTGCTTGGAGCAGATCTTGCACCTGCAACGGATGTATAAGCAAATCAGCAAAGCTCAATATAGCGATGGTAGTTCCCCACCTGAAGTAGTCCGGATCGTTGTGCATGCGCAGGTGATCCACATAGAGCGCTCGCTTCTTGTACCGTCGCTGACAGCATACCACGTAGCCGGCGGACTGGTGCTGATTCCGAAAGTGTCGCTTCATTTCGGCAAAGTTTTGGAACTGGTCCTCGTCGCTGCCGCACAAACAGCACTCCAGGCGTCCATGCAACTCTATATAACTGTCCATTTCGCGGCTATGGGTGCTTCGGGTCTCGGGATCCCCCTCGCCGTCCTCCGCGTCCTCATCCTCATCTGCCTCATCCAGCTGGCGTTTCGTCTTAGCCTTGGCCTTCACGGCCCTGGGTTTGGGTAATGCGCGGGGACGCATGCTACGTCTGATGGGCGACGGCAGACGTACCTTTCGCCGCGTTGTCGTCCGTCCACCGACTGCTGTTGCTTCCGAAGTGTGTGTGGTGATACCACTGCTGTTGGCGTCCACATCGATCTCATTGTACTCCTCATTTTCCACTGCCGAAGGACTCACATCGATTTCCGGCTCGCAAAGGATGTGCGCCTTTGTGTCCGCATCCTCGGCCTCGTCGTCAGAAAACGGTTCCAACTTGAGGTGCTGGAGGCCCAGCTGCTTCTTCATCACCATGGTGCAGAACTGCTCGAAGTCGGCCAATTGCTGCCAGCACTGGGTGCAAAGGCACCGGGACACAGCATCATTTGGCAGCAGCTGTGAATGCACACATACAAAGCCAGATAGGAGCGATGCCGGATATTTAAATGGGAACACGCGCTACTTACCACCAACTGCAGGTGCTTCTCAATCAGTTCCGCCAGATTGGAGGGCGGCGGCTGGTCGTCGGCCTCTTCCTGGTCGAAGATCGGGATGCTGTGCACCGCGTCGTCCAGGCAAAGTCGGCAAATCATTTCATCTGGCTGTGGCGGGGCGAGTTACTGGAAGTGTGGCGCAGCTGGCGTTCTCAGCCGATCCTCCCCAGCTTCACTCCAATTGGATATTCTATTTAATTGTATTTTTTCCTTTATTTTCTGTTGGTTAAATTTTTTTCTGGAATTGTACATGAAATCCCGTTGCACTGGGAAATTTCCCATTACGTCACCTGGTCACACTGCTGCGGTCAGCTGTTTCACGATAACTTTTCGATGGTTAAGCGGTTTTAGTTGGTTTTGAAAATTATTTTTTTATTTTGATCATTGCTTGAATCGTTCAATTTCGTTATAAAACCTTATTTTATTAAAATCACAATCCTAGCAGCCAATCGTATTAGCATTGATGAACTGGACAAACAGCTGCGGCACCTGCTCCAGGGGCGTGGGCGATGTTTGGCTGGCGCGACACGTGCTCGTTATGAACTTTTGGCGGAGACGGTTTAGCTGAAGCGCGTTCATTGAGGTGGTCACCTTCACAGGATTATTGCTACCCGGGATGCGCAGCTGTCCAAAGGCCTTTATCTTCACGGCACCAAGAATCTCCTTGATAATTGACTGCATGATGTTGTCCAGCTCGAATAGGTAGTTGGTAGCTCCCAGTGGGGCCTGAAAGAAGCGAGATTTTCATTTGAATTCTTTGTCAGGGGGAAAAAGCCTGCAAAGGCTTACATTCTGGGTACTCAGGTTGGGTGGCAGGGGCTGCGTTTCATACAGGGCTTTGTAGATTCCCTCGACGTCGAGCGTGTCCTCGGGCAGCGCCACCACCAGAGGGCTGTCCCAGCGGTTATTGCTTTGCGGCTCCTCGTAACGCATACACAGGGCATCGAAGATCTCGCGGGTGTACGGCACATCCGAATTGTCCAACGGCTGTCCAGTTTCCGTTTCCTGCGGCACCTCGTCCGGCGCTGTTCGCTGGGTATTGAAGGTCCAGGCCTGCTCTTGGGGAATACAGCAGAACAGCGTGCATTGTGTGGTCCTGGATGCCTTGGTGGCACAGTAGAGCTCATACCGATAGCCTAAGATAGAAATTCCCTTGTTTGGTTTTAGAGATTGCTCACGTGTAGACTTCCCAGTCGACGACTTACCCTTGATGTAGTTGCCGGCATCTAGAATGACCAGATCTTCCTTGTTGACGTGACGCAAAGCCGCTGACTTGAGATCGCTACGCACTACCTTTTCCTTTTGAGAATCACCTGCGTGCTGGTTCTTGCCAAAGAGCGCCTTCGGCACAGCCTCGTTTTCGCTGATCAGATGAACCTTCTTGCCCCGCTGGATGAAATAATCCCGCACCTGTCGGCTTCGTGTGGACTTGCCGCTGGCCGGCAGACCCGTAATCACCACAATCGGCATGGCAAACAATAAATTAATAAAAGTAAATAAACAAAAGATGTGTTGGAAAAGAGTCCAGTGTTGGCAGTGCAGCTGACTTAGTTTATTCCGAGCTAAGATTTAGCTAGTAAGCTATTTTATATTAAGCTATTATTTTAAATTGTGGATTTCTGCATTTTTGATTAGCTTTTCCTGCTTTTATTTCTAACTTCTGTTTTATTAAGGCTTCAACTAGCTTGTTTAAAGCTCATTATTATTTTAAAGTAAATATTTGGCTTTCTTTTATCAAGATAAAATGACAGTACTATTCACAGCTGTTTCCGCGCGACAGTGTTGTAAAACACACCAAGTACGGGGCTTCTCCAAACGTGTAAAACTTAAAATAAATAAATTTGGTACGCCGCAAATGGCAGAGTTTCGTCGCCGAAACCGAAACAAAAAGAAGGATGACCAATCCTCCGCTGTACTGACACCCGTCATTATAGCCCGCCGCGAGGATCCCAGAATTCTGCAGCCAAAGATTCTCCTGAACAAAGATCGGGACAGGGACAAGGAACGGGAGCGTGACCGGACTACGGAGCGGGAGCGGAACAGGGAGAAGGATAAGGCAGAGGCAGAGCCGAGTCCCAACAGCACCCAGGAAACGCCTGCGACCATTAAAACCCTGTACATCAATCGCACAAGCGATGCCGTGCAGGCAGATAAATGTAACCTAGGCCTGAATGGCCCAGGAGCCAGCGGATCACCTGCCAAGGGTGGCCATCTAGCGTCAGTCCCGTTGTCCACATCCGTTTGCTCAGCTCTCGTCAGTACTCCACCAACTAGCCGCGAGAAAAACAACAGCAATCCGGCTGGTGGAGCTAATGCTGCCGGGGCCGCGGCAGGAGCCGCTCTCCAAGAGCCGCCACGCATGAACCGTGCCACCCCTCTAATCCTAGCCAATGGCATTTTCAATGTCAACGCCCGCCGACTGTTTCACAAAACCAACACGGATTTCACCGTCATCGGTGTGCTAGGCGGTCAGTGCTCTGGTAAGAGCACTCTGCTCAATCTGCTGGCCGCTGAGCGATCGCTGGACTACGACTACTACCACCATCTGCTCTCCCCGGAAGCAGATTCCTGCATCTTTCCCACTCGACACAAGATCAAGGCGAAGGAAGCCCCCAAGAGTGTCTTGCGACCGCGCACGGAAACGTTTCAGTTCTTTATCACAAGGGAGCGCCACATATTGCTTGACACGCCTCCACTCCTGACTGTATCCAAGGAACCGGATTATCTGGATCTGAATTCCGTTGCCATAATGGCACAGCTCTTGAGTGTGTGCCATATTCTTATCTTGGCCTTTGATGGGTTGGCGGTGGAGCAATTGAGACTAATAAACGCTGCGCTTAGATTGCGACCAAGATTTCCCTGTAAAGGCTACGTGCCGGATCATCTGCCGCAGGTCCTGTTCGTCCGCACCCGTGCCCAGCGGCAAGACTTTGAGCCGCTGCACCGAGAACGACTAGACAAGAAACTGACACATCTTTATGGAGCCACTGGACTGCCAATTTATCGCGGTCGTGGTGAAGCCCGTACCCTGAACACTTTCCTGCTTCCGGAGGTAAGCGGTAATGGAGCTACCGCTTACCATGCACCCTTCGGTGAGATGGTGCGTCAGTTTAGGGAGCGAGTTCTGGGATCTACACGTGTTTCCATGTGCCACACCAGCACTGAGCTCAGCGAGGCCATCTGGTTTGAAATTCTGGCGGAAAGTACGCGTAAATCAGCGCCGAATTTTGAAAAGATCTATGCGGACATCAAGCTGCGTCACCTGGATACGCGCCAGTGGCGTCCGGATAACTGGCGTCCAACAGAGAGCTGATCTGGGGATTGAAGTTAAATTAGTAGAACACTTAAGCTTGCTATGTGTGATGGGGTTGGGTTTCTATATTATAAAAAGCACCCCCGCAGGGGGAGCGGATTTTGAGCATAGACGGTTGATGACATTATAATTTTAAAACGTATGCTGGACTACCCATTTTATTTGATTTATTATAATAATAATACCATAAAAACGGAGTGGAATTCTGAAGTTGTTTGTTAAAGTAAAGACTAAAGACGTGTCAACACTTCTCAAGTAGTCTGTACAAAATTCTTCCTAAAGTCGTTAATGTTCGATGTTGAAATGATAACAGCACGCGTTGAACAAATAAAAAGTATTTATTTAAGGTTAACACATCTTTGTTTGGTAAACATTAACACTTCTGCAATTGTAACAGTCCAGGTCCAGTCTGGTGTTATTTTTGATAATCGCAATCAAAATGTAATCATGCCATTACAAAGGTCTATATATTTAGAAAATAGAATAACGTAGCTTTTAATTTACATAGTCGAATCCTTGTCGTGTCGATTCGAGTTCTGTGATGGCATCTGTATGTAGGTGGGCTTGGGTTTTAATGTTGTATGGCTATCACGTTGGCTGGGCCAGCGGCTCCATTTCAGTCTCATCGTCGGCCGTGATCGGCTGCTTTAGCTGCTCCAGCTTCACCTCTTCCTTTTCGCGCTCCTCTACCTCTTCATCCTCACTATCCTCGCGCACAATGAGATCATGGGGTTCCCGGGAGGCCTTGCGCTTGCCTCGCTGCTCCTCAAATGGATCTGGCTTGCGGCAGACCCAGAACAAGCTCTGGTACTCGCTCTGTTTCATGGAGGCCGGATTCTGGGCATACTTGGTGTGGATGCCCGTTCGCGACTTCTCGATAACAAAGCCTACGCTCTCCATGATAATGCACAGGTCCTCGAACGTCGGCTCGATGCTGTTCTGTCCACTGACGTCGCTGTAGTGATACAGCAGCGGTCCGAGATTCACCCAGATGCCACCGGGCACTAGAATTCTGGAATAAGGTAAAATAAGCATATTTTAACTATATATTGTGGGATAACGAATAACATCTCTCCCTCGACTCACTTGTAAATGGTGCGGATAAAATCAATGACATTATTGGCACAGTCGATGAAGAAGCACGTGGCGACACAATTATAGGAGTGCGCAGTCTTGTAGATCTCCAGGAAGTCACCGGCTGCTATTTCAAAATGTCCCTTGGGTGGGTTCTTTCGCGGGCAGACGTCCGGAAAGCGAACAGCGGCCACTTGGTCCTCGCGCCGTAGGTTATTTACGTATTGATGCACCCAGGGATACAGTGCGTATTTATTCTCGTAGTCGCACCTGCCATCAAATAGAGAGAGATGGATGAATGCCCGACGTTTCTTGTGTTCTTTTCTTTTTCGGCAAATCAATTGTCTTACAGATTGAGGACAAAGTTCGAGGCGATCAGCATGAAGTAGGAGAACTCGTTGCCCTCGCAAGAGTAACCCAAACATGCTAGTTCGTAGGTTAGACGCCCCAATCCAGCTCCTGGCACCAGGATCTTAATCTCCTTCAGTTCGCTGCGCAATAAGAGTTAATCAGTAACTATCGGGAGCAAGGGGAAATGTGCAAAAGTACTCACTAATCACTGGGCTTATAGTACTCCACTATGCTATCAATGATCGGCTTGTAGGACTGCTCCCGCTCCAGGGCACCTTCAGTGCTCCAGTCGCGCGCAATCAACTTCAGCGTCGACTGGGCCTTTAAAATTTTTAGAGGTTCAACATCAGCATCCTCGAGTTGAATATTAATTTACGATTGTTTGATTAGAGCGGGTGCGAGATACAGGATACGGGATACGACATACAAGGTGTGTGCGAGTTTGGAAGAAATTTAGATACAGAGTAAGGTTTTGTGATTGCCAATTCGATAGTAAGGAAGAACTGAAGACAAATTTTGGGGGGTTGGTTAGCAGAAAACCAGTGGGATTTGTGGATATGAATTATAACTGATAACAATAGCCATTGCAGAGTCAAGAGATCTTAAGTTTAAAGAAAAATGTAGTACTTAATGGTTGGACTAACAATTCTTTGATTATTTGTTGAAAATCGAATTCAGAAATTCAAATTTTTAACACAAGAAAACAAAATTTTTAAATTGACTGAATTTCTAAAGTTGACAAACGCATTTACTTATACAAATATACACATAAGGTATTGAAATCATGAGAACTAAAATATGTTTAATATTGTTTGATAAAAATGTTTGAATAATTTTAAAATCCAACCGAATTTCTCGATTTATCAAAAGCTTTAACAAAAACCCGTAATATTAAAAAGAAACATAGAAAATAAATGTGTGTGTGAGGGGGTACATCATGAATGTGTGCTACACACAGATCTCTTCTTACCTGATCCATATCGCCGTGCCTAACATTTGGTGGCGGCTCGTCAAACTCCCAACTATCCGTCGACGGATTAACGGTGGACTCCTCCGGCGGGTAGAGAACGCGCTCGCGAAGAATCTCTCGAATGACCGCTTGGTTGCGATCAATGCACGTGCGAACGCACTCCAAATGCGCCCTATACTTGGCCAGCATGTGTTGATCCTCGCCGGATAGGCTGTTCAGGTAATCCATGGAGCGCTTCAGCCGCTGGCAGGCATATGGCCTTTTAGGGGGGATAAGTACATAAGTTAATTGATTTCCATTATCAGTCAATGCCACTTAAAGCCATCAACAAGCACGCTTATCGCCAGCGATGACACCCCATTAGACAGAAAGGAAATAAAGCATTCTGGGTTTTTGAAATCTATTAAAATTGCCGCCAAAGGTAGACTAAGAAACAAGTTAATATCATAAAAGCTAGACGATCGAGCTTTTCATTTGAGTTTACTACGTTGTAAGACAAAATAATGAATTTGATTTAATTTTCACGGGCAATTTAAAAAGATTTCTCTATAAAATTTGCAACATATATTTTGTTTTCTGTAAAGACCTTAAATATGAATATCGAATGATCAGGCCAGATTTAACCCCCACTACTGGGCATCATGGACATGCACGTTCAGGCAGCGGCGAAACGGGAGTTTGTTGACAGCTTGTCTGCACATGTCGCTTCCCCCGCCTACCCTGGCACCCCTACGCATGGCTCCAACGCCGATCGAACGCCATTCACCGTTAGCCGGTAAGCGGTTCATTCAGCATGTGCGTAGGACCAACAACAACACTCCACTGAGACTCACCCGTAGTATAGGAAGGCATTCTGCACTTTCTGAATATGCTTCTCCTCCTCGTCCTCGTTGGCAGCGTAGGCCAGGGCCTGCTGCTGGTCCATTTTGGGATGCATGGGGAACATGAAGTGCAGGATATAAACTTCGCGGTGCGTCACTGGTTGCAGTCTGATGTAAATTCCAACGAATCGAGTTATATCCAAAATAGTGTCTTTAGGCGGGACCAGTGAGACTGTTGCCGGGCGCTCGATAAAAACCACAAAGTTGCCTTTCTCCTTCGATGTGCTTTGGTCACACTTTCGATCTTAGCTTAACGCACCGTTTCCACTACATGCATTTAGAAATGCTGAAATTTTAATAATAAGCATTTCTCTATTTTCTTTAGTAATTTCCTAATTAAATTTTATTTTTAATTTTTTAAGGAAATACAAAAAAAAAATCAAACTATATAATTTATTTTTCAAACATCTAAACTTGCCATTATATGAAAATAATAAAAATAATTATAGTATTATTATTTAAATTCAAATTATTTTTATATATATTCAAAAAATAATATAAATAACCTAATATTGATATTTTGTATGGCGCGAAAGTATCAATATTAACACATTTTGTATACCCTTGTAGAAAATTATAATTAATATAATAATATATTCTTAATAATAATATAATAATATATTCTTGATCAGCATTAATAGGAGAATCTTTCTAGCTATCTCCGTCAGAAAAAAAAATTTCTAAAATTTTAAATTTTCTCAAAAAAAGGAAAGGGGTTACATCGTTAAAATTTTCAAGAATTCAAAAAAAATTGTAGTTTCTTTTTAATTGTGTATGTAGATTTATTAATCTAATACAAATTAGAATAGGAACGTTTGCCGAATTGAATTTAATGCATTTTTGGCTTAGTTATGATATTTGAAGGACTTGGACTTACCTAAAATTTTAGCTTAAAAAATATCGTTTTTATATTATTCTAAGTATATACCTAGAATAAACATATTTAGAAGGTCAAGAATCCAATGATGGCTAAAAGTCATATATATTTCCATTTAAAATTAAATAATTCATATTCATATTCCTATGGCTGCTTTATGATATTGATATTGAAACGAAGTTGTATCAAAAGGCAATGGGTAAAAAACTAAGAGTAATAATATAAAATGACAGGGTATAGTAGCTCAATAATGAGTCCGTCCATAATCCACCCATAACAATAATGCGCATTTGAGTGTTGTGTTGATAATAATTATCAATTTTATTTTCTAACGAAGAAGCACATTTAGGCCTCCAATACATCCCCCCTAGGGTTGCTTTGCCCCCCCATGACTTGCAGTTTAATATTAACTATATTTGGTTTGCCTTTGTTTACAAATCTAGCTTTGTAAATATCTTGTGTGTTATTTTATTTATCACTGAGATGCATTCTTAGCATGCTCGCGATCCTATTCTAATTTTTTTTCAAGTCTTTTGAATTGGACACACTACTGGGATTGAGAAGTGAGCACTCCCTTTCCCAGCGATTCCATTTTGTATATGTAATAGTAGTATAGCTAGGAACTAACACGCCTCTAAGTCCAACAAAATATTTCATTGGAAATTGAGGTGCTTCTGATTCTCTATTATATGTCATCCGCGTCGTCCTCCTCATCTGCGTCGATTCCATTTCCATTACCCCCATTTTCCTCGTTCTCATCATCCTCCTCGTCGTCATCATTCTGACCCTCCTCCTCCTCCTCGTCATAACTTTTGCTCTCCATACTAGCTGTACTCTGGGACTTGAGGGCCCTATCGTCGCCCATGTCCAGTAGGGGCTGAACGTCCACGTTGGGAGCAAATTGTTGCAGAAGACGTCCCACTACGGTGCAGAGACCCATTAGACGTTTCTCCATGCGCTGATCATAGCCAAGACGATGTCTAAAATGGAAGATATTATTAGTATTAGGATTATAATTCGTATTATTATTATATAGAGTGCCAATCGACTAAATCGCATTATTCTACTGATTCTGCAAAAGAACTGGACTGGATTACAACTGAACAGTAATGCATTTTCATGATCTTACTTGTAATATTTGTCTTTCGCGCTCAGCTTGCGTTTGGGCTTCTTTACTATTTTACGCATCGGCTTTTGCTCCATCTGTTTCGATGAAGATAGCGATGGTGAAGGGGATGATAGTTGCGGCGACTCTAGCGACTCGTAAAAGTCATTATAGTGATTGTTTGAGAGTGACACCTCACCGCCGATCATAACTAGGCCGCACTCCATCTCGTCAGCACCATGATAGGCATTAGATATGTCCTCGCTGCCCCTGTCCACCTCATGTTGAGTGGTGGCCTCGGCCAGCAATTTGTTCAGCTCATCATTATTGTTGTTATTTTCGTATGTTGACGGCGGATCGTCCGCGTCGTCGGTGGTATCACCACCCTCATTTGGCGGCGAGCGCTCACAAAAGTTGTGGTCGTTCAGTACGCCTAGCATCAGCTCTTTGCAGGAGTATACATTGGAGATAGCCAGGTTGTTAGTCGGAGTCTCCACATTCGGCTCCTTTAGAGCATACGAATGCAGATCGGCCGTCTTCTGGTTCATGTATGCGTGTATGAGCCCAAAGAACTCCCACTCTTTGTTGATTTCTTCAATCTTTTCTTTGGTCAGAGAACCGGGCTCTGTGTTAGCCTTGTGAACGCGGTAGCGCTGCACCATGGAGAACCACTGCTTGCGAAGTGCAATCTCGCTGAATTCGCCAATCTTGGCCATGTCCTTGAATTTTCTGTGTGTGAGATAGGCATTCAAATTAATCATGTGGCCACTCCACACTCGACTAAAAAACTCACTTCCACGGCTCGGCATGTTTCGGCGAATATTTCGAGAAGAGTTCGTCAGCCGCTATGCGCTGCTCAACAAGCTGATGCTTCTCCTCCGCGGACCCTGCAATATTTAATTACCAAGCAAAATAAAAAATCAAAATCGGATTGCGTACCGGAACCAAGGGACGAGCAGACACACGTGCTCTAGTTGCGGACTTACATTTTTTGGATCCACTCTTTGCGTATGTGTGGTGATCCATACTGTCTTCCCTTGCCTTCCTTGTTCCCGTTTCCTTCCCGTCGAAAAATGTTAGCCCGAGCACGTTTAATTCTTGTTACAAAAAAAAAAAAAAATAGAACGCGTTTGCAGGTGATGTCGCAGTGTGGCCAGTTTGGCTTAGTGCTGGCAAAACAAACATACATATCGATACTATCAACTATCGAGTGCACAGCTATGCTCATCGATAGTTTTTTCGGATGTCAGCCGCCAAATAAACGATTTTTGTCTTTTTTTAAATTTTTGCATATAAAGAATTAAATATTTTAATAAAACTTGTTTTTTTTAAAAAGATACATATTTAGTAAATATTTCCGGCAGTTCCTTGGAAAAATTGTGTTTCCGCGGTGTCAGCAGAACTTCTTTCAGGATCATTCGAAATAAAAATAAAAAAACGTGTTTTAGTAAAGACAATAAACTAGGTATTGAACAATAGAAAAAAAGAAAATTGGATTTTTGGCAGACCTTAATATATATATAATATAGCCTATATTCTCCAATTTACCTGTAATAGCCTTCGAGGCAACCCCCTCCCAATTAATATTTAAGATATTATTTGCCCATGTGAAATGAAATATTTTGGTATATTCCCGCGAAATTACAAAAAATCTGCCACATATATTGTTCTTTCATCGTTATTTTTTATTTGAATTCAATTTGTAAATCCTTTTTCGTTGCGTGTGTGTCTTTACAATTAAGTACACTTCTTGCGGAGTTGTTTTTTTGTTTAAGTACATTTTTTTATAAACGCTAAATACATAGTTTAATTTGTTCAGTAGTTTCTGTCGTTGCTGCTCCTGCCTACATTCACATTAAAAGTATTACTTATATATTTGATAAAATATATATTAATATATAGGCATGCATGGTTAAGTACATTTAATTTCGTTTATTTTCCGTTTATTTTCCGTTTATTTTTAGCTTAAACAATGCTACATACGCGAAATGCTTTGGTTATTGCTGTAAGAAGTCCACTAAATTGTAATTAAATTGTAATTATGCTTTCGTATGCTGTATATTTAAATAGCTATAATATTTAATGTGTGTGGTATGTGTGTAGGTGCCGTGAATGAGTTTCATTAAATAGGTTTATATAAGATCCTAAACAAAAAAGGCCTAGAGTCTAGAGAGCTTACAAAATATTTGTTTTTCGTCTTGACTAAACACTTGGTTGTGTTTTCAATTTTCTTAATTTATAAATTTTAAGCCACGCTGCGGTTTCTCAAGTCCACTGTTTATGTAATGTACATTATTATATAGTTTATTTTATATTCTCTATTTTTAGCCGTGTATTTTCTCTTTTTTGTTTGTGTTTGGTGTCAAGTCTTTCTTGTTCTTGTTGTCATGATGCAAAAATGTTCGTTGTCTTCTTTTCGTACTTAATATTTTGTCCTTTGTTTTTCAGCTACTTAATTCTAAATTTATAATTATAATTTATATTAAGGCTAGACAAAAAAAAAGTTTGTTTAAAAAAATGTGTATTGGTTTGTCTCCAAGGATTTTGATTAGCTTTTAAGTTGTTTGTTTTGGTTAAACCGCTTAAAATAAAGGTTGACATAAAATAGGGTTTAAAAAAAATGTAAAAAAAGAGGGGAATGTTAAAACTTTGTTTCTTTTTGTTTTTTAAGACTACAAATTACTGAAAACTATTTAAGCTTTGGTATACATAAGTAAGGCGGTAAAAACTGCTTCGTCTGCGTCTTCCGTCTCGTCCTTCCCCGGAATATATGGCTCTAGATACTGACTCCTTCTCACTCCTCACTTGTTGTCCACGCCCAGAAGCTTGGCCGCCTCATCGGCGGAGGACAGCAGCTTGTTGAGTATGCCTTGATCGCTGATCCCCAAAAGGTTTCCAATCAGATCCGAACCGGCTGCCGCTGCTCCCGATGGGGTTGCCTCGCCCAGGTTCTCCTTGTGCTCGCCCAGCCGACTCGCTCGCCACTCGTTCGCCTTGTCCAGTAGCTCGTGCAGCTTGGGTAGCTTCATGCCGAGCTTATTGTTGTTATTGTTATTATTATTATTGCTATTATTATTATTATTATTGTTGTTATTATTCTGGCAGCTGTTGTTGTTATTGGCGCTGGAGGGAAGCGGCATTGGAGAGGGAGCTGGTGTACCAGGCGGACTGCTCAATGCCTGCTCATCGTCGGAACAATCGGAGCCATTGTGGGCCCGTCCACTGTGCTTCTTCATGTGGCGCAGCATGCTGTGCTTGAGGGTGAACTTGCGCAGGCAGAAGTCGCACTGGAAGGGCCTCTCGCCGGAATGGGTGCGCATGTGGCGCCGTAGATCCTCGGTGGACCAGAACCGGCGCACACAGAAGGCGCAGATGACCTTACGGTTGCTATAATCCGGATATTTGCCACGGCCCAGGCCATTGGTGGCCTCATCGTCCGAGTGTTGGTGCTGTGACTGCTGCTGCTGGGTGTTTGATGAGTCGGTGGAGTGCAGCGACTCATTCTCAATGGCTCCCTTGGCCAGAAGCAGGGCAAACTCATGGGCATGCGTCTGCTTGATGTGCTCCAGGCATTGCAGGCGCTCGGCAAAGGAGCCCTCGCACAAGTGGCACTTGTAGGGCAGATCACCGCCGGCCGAAAGATCACCTCCGGCTCCAACTCCAGCTCCGGCCGAGGATCCATTACCCGGCGAGGCACATGAGACAGCGGCAGCGGCCGCAGCAGCTGCTGCAGCGGCACTCATCTGGGCGGCCAGCTTATGGATGAGCTGCTGTCGTTCTCGCTCCTTCTCCTTCTCCAGTTCACGTTCCCGTTCCAGTTCACGTTCGCGCTCTAGCTCCCGTTCGCGCTCCAGTTCACGCTCTCTTTCGCGCTCCGCTTCCTGGCGACGACGCTGCTCCTCCAGTTCGATCTCCTCCACGGACTTGGGCACTGGTATCGGCTCACTAACATCCTCGGTGGGCACATAGACCGACATGGCGGACTCGACATTACCATGCTTGCGCAACAGATGCCGATCGCAGTTGCTCTTGGTGGTGAAGAGCAGCGGGCAGTGGGAGCACTTGAAGGGCTTCTGACCGGTGTGGGTGAGGATGTGGCGGCGCAAGGAGCTGCTCCACGGGAACATGCGCTGACAGTATGGACAGGAGACGCGATTCGGGGCCAGACTGTAGGCGGACTTCTTCTTTGGCTCGCTGCTCGAACTGGAGCTGGTGACATCCTCTGTGCCGCTGTTGTTGCTCTCGCTGGCACTGCCAGAGGCCACCAGGCCCTCCTCGTCGCTCTGCTCCATGTGATTGGCCACATCGCTGGGCCGGAAGTAGCTGTTGAAACTCATATTCTGGCTGGTGGCATTGTCCACCAGCTTGGCCACCGGCACCAAGTCCTGTGAATCGTCCTTAAACGGTGAACTGGCCACCTCCTTCAACGACTTGCCAACGGATTCGGCCTGTGCAATCATGGTCTTCAGGCTGCTGGGATTACTGCTGGGTTCCTGCATGGCAGCAGGTGGAGTTACAGCTGTTGGAGGATTCTCCTCCTGAACCGAAGAAGCCGCATCGGACGGCGGAGTCGAAGTCGCAGCTGGCTGCTTGCCAGCCTTGATGGCCTGCTCCAGGATGGTCTCTGCCATCTTCTGGGCAGCCTCGTTTTGACTGGGGTTGGAGTTGGACATTGTGCTAAGCTGCTCCAGGGGCTTGGGTAGCTCATCCTCTTCCTCCTCCTCCGGCGCTTCCTCCTTTTCCACGACAGCTACGTCTTGCGGTTCGTCTAGAATCACCTCCGGCTCATCTTCGGGCTCGTCCTCCTCCTCATCTTCCTCGTCCTCGTAGTCATCCACATCTTCCGGCTCCCCTTCATGGTCATGCTCGTTCTCATCCTCATCGATGATCAGTTTGGGCTCATCATCGTCAATGGTCATGGGCGTCTGCCCGTTTCCCTGACTGCTCACAAGCGAAGCACCAGGCGCAGGGCCCAGTGGATAGCCAAAGTGCAGGAGGGGATTGCCCGCCACACTGCTAGAGCCATGGGCCAAGGCCTGCTGCAGAAGATCGGTGTTCTTGTGCGCCTTCAGCTGCTGCGCCAAAATGGCATATTTCACCTGCTCGGAGATGGGAGCATGACCATGTCCATGGCCATGGTTGTGACTGTGATTGTGGCCGTGAGTGTGGGTGTGACCATGATGATGGGATGATCCTCCAGCTGGACCCATGGCAACCGCTGCAGCGGCAGCGGCAGCAGCAGCAGCGGCGGCATTCGACGCTCCTCTGCCCCTCATCACATGGTGACCACTGCGCTGTCGCTGGGCATAGAACTGTGGATGCTGTTGCTTCACATGTCGCTCCATATTGGAACGCAGCGTGAACCGGGCGGAGCAGTGCTCGCAGGCGAAGGGACGTTCGGTGCGATAGCGACGCTGCTTCTGCTTGGGCATCAGCACACCGTTCTTGATGACCATTTTGACGGGTCCGCCGGGCGGCACTGGCACACCAACGCCCACGGGCAATGGGTTCATCCGGGATGGAGGACTCACCAGTGGCGGCTTCTCTTGATTCACCTCCGGCGGCGGTGGCGCCATGAATGGGAAGAAGGAGAAGCCCGGCGTCTGGGACTGGAACATAAGGCTGCGGAACAACTGCTGCATGTACTGGGAGGCGTCACCGGCACCGCCAAAGAGTTGCTGCTGTGCCAGGAGCAATTGCTGTTGCTCCAAAGCGGCGGCCAGGTCGGCAGTCGGAGTGACCACTGCAGGCGCACCGAGGGGTGCTGGCGTGAGTGAGGGCGTAGGGGTAGGTGTGGGTGTAGTTGCTGCACCCGTTGGCTTCTTGCTGAGATCCAACACATCCATGCTAAAGTCCAAGGCAGAGGAGCTCTTCTCCGGCTGTTGAACTGTCGTCGGTTTCTTGTCCACCAGTTGGTCCAGGCTCTTTACCTGAATCTTTAACGGCGGCTGAGCTGGTGCCACGGGATGATGATGATTATGATGCTGCTGCTCGCCCAAGAGCATGTGCTTCAGCTGGGAGCTGCTGCTCTCAGCAATTGGTGGCGGTGGTGGTGGCGGCGTTGGACTTATAGAGCGGAAGCTCATATCAGCCAGATCCTCACCCAGACGCGACTTGCTGTCCTCACAGCCGGCGTCCTCGGCCGGATGGTAGACGATGGCACGCTTAACCTCCTCGCGGCTGGTCTTGCCATGCCGATTCCTCAAATGGCGCTCACAGTTGGCCTTGGTGGTGAAGGCATAGTTGCAGACGGCACACTCGTACGGACGGTCACCATTGTGAGTTCGCATGTGGCGCACCAGAGCCGCCTTATCGCAGACGGCGTAAGGACACATGTTGCAACGGAAGGGTCCCGCAGGTCCAACCGAACCAAGGTGAACCCGGTTGTGACCCTTGAGAGCCCGTAGATTCGGAAAAACAGCAGTGCAAAGCTTGCAGGGGAACTCACCGCGCAGCTTCATCCGGCGGAATTCCGAGGTGAAGGCATCCTGGGCCTCCTCCTCCTGATCACGCCCATCCAAACTGTATTGGCTGGAGCTGGGCGTGTTCACCGACTGCTCAAAGTTGCGCAGAAAGCTGCTGGTGCAGCTGGAGCTGGTCATGTTCAGGATACTCTGTATATCGGCCAGATCCTTGCTATCCGCCGGCTCGTGCTTAATTGGGGACGGCGGGTGAGAGATAATGCCGCCAACACCGTTGCCACCCGCTGCACCCGATGTTCCCTTGAGGTACAGCTTGTGGAAGAAATCATCACGCTTTTGCTCCATTTCCTCATCATCTTCGTGATCCGCCTCCTCCTCATCTTCGGCATCCTCATCGGCATGCAGCGGCGAACTGCTGGCGCCCAGCATAGGCGGCAGTCCCACTCCCAAAGAGGATCCCCTGCAGCAGTGTGCCTGCAACTGGCGGTGGCTTGCAAAGATCACCTCACAATCCCGACACTTGGCCGGTATATCGGAATGCCGGGCATCCAGATGGGCGCACAGAGCAGGCAGGGTTTCGAAATCAGAGGCTCCGCAGGCGGGACAACTCAGGAGCAGGCCAGGTGAGCCGGGTGGCGAGGGTGAGGGTGAACGGGAGGCAGCACCAGAGGCACTGGCTCCTGCCAGCAATGTGGCCACATCGGGTGTGCTTGTGAGCATGGCCACATCATCTGCGTCCTCCTCCTCGCCGTGCAGATCCTCCTCCGCATGATTCTCCGCATCGATGACATTGTTGTTGATGGTTGTTTTTAGACGACGTTGCAGTTGCTGCTTGTTATCCTCCAGCTCTTGCTCCTCCAACTCATCCAGCTCATGCTTGCTGTTCCTGTTGTTGTTGGTTGCCTTGTGGGAGTTGTTGTTGTTGTTGTGAAGGGAGCTACTGCTGCGACTGCGACTATTACCGCTGGACACATCCGTGGAGCAGCTGGCATCGCTTTCATAGCTCTCCGCCCGTACGGGCAAGGAGCTGCTGGCCAGCGTCTGCTGCTGTTGCTGCTGCTGGGCGGGATGTGTCTGCTGCTGCTGCTGTTGCTGTTGCTGCTGCTGTTGACGGCGCTGCAGCTGGGCTTGAGACTGGGATTGGGACTGGGACTGCACCGTCTGGTGCTGCTTGTGAGTGCGCATATGACGATGCATATTGCCGTTGGTGGTGAAGGTCAGGTGGCAGTAGCGACAGTTGAACGGCCGCTCGCCCGTATGCACTAGCACGTGCCTGTCCAGAGATGAGGCAGAAGATAACACCTGTTTATAGGGAAAGCGGGAGAGAAAGAGATAAAAGGGGAGCACAGGTGAGTGAATTGTGTGGAAGAGAAGAAAGGCCATTAAGTGATCCCCAGGACAGCTGTCTATTTCAGGAAAGAAACTACCAGGAACCCCGAGAAACCCCTTTCGATTCACTTACCTTGGAGCAGATGCGGCAGGTGAAGTTCTCCGTGTCTCCATTAGCATAGTTGTGGCATCGAATGTGATTGGTGAACTCGTGCGGCGTGGCAGAGACCACCTCGCAGATGGGGCACAGGTATTTCATATGCTCATCACCCGCACCGATGCCCGACTCGCCGCTGGAGAGGCACAGACCCTGCGGTGAGGAGCCACCGGAACCGCCGCCAATGCTGCTGCTATTACTGCTGGAGCTGGTGCTGCTACTCGACGCTGAGGCCGCTGCTCCACCGACGGCAGATGCGGGAACAGTGGGCACTGCCAGACTTGTGCTGGCGCTGCTGCTATTGTTCCCCAGATAGCCACTGTGGGCAGTGCTGCTGGCGTCCACGAATCCCGATTCCGAGAGACTCGCTGCCGAGCGATTGAGACGGAACTTTTTGCGCAGCGAACTGGCATCGCCGGCAGAGTAGTCCACCACAATGGAGGCGGAGGCGGAGGAGGAGGATCCCTGACCGGCGGCACCGCGTCGCTGCTTGTGCCGATTCAGGGGACGTGCTTCATCCTCATCCTCGTCCTCATCAGTGAGAAGATCCGATCGACTTTGCTGAAGGTGGTGCTGCTGCTGCAGCTGACGCAGCTTACGCTTGCGCGACGTCGCTGCCACCTCGTGTGGCGTCGATGTCGACTGAGCGGCACCGGCGCTGCCGCTGAGCTTCTTTGGCGTACGACCGAGGTCGAGATGCTCGAGAGAGGATTCTGATGTTGTCGACTCTCTTCGCTTCCGCTCCATCTCCACAACAATGTCTGTGTTGGTGTTGCTGTTCATCTTTGTGTGAGTGGCGGCGGCTATGTTATTGCTGTTGTTGCTGCTGCTGCTGCTGCTGCTGCTGTTGCCGGGCTGTGGTTGTTGTTGTTGCTGTGTCGCGAGCATTGTTCCCAGTTCCTTCCTTGCGTTGCTATTCTTGTGAGAGACATGGGGAAATGAGAGCAAGCGAAAGAGCGAGGTTAGCGAGAGCAGTTTTTGATGGTGTTTGGAGTGTGCCATTGTCACTTGTTTTAGCAAATAAAAAAGAGTTAATAGAACATAACAAAAAACGATTGCCAAATAATTTAAAACTTCACTCGTCTGTGTTTGAAATGCACATTGAGTAAGTTGTCAAATTTAACTAAATGTCTAGCTTACAAATATCGCTTAGGTGGCTCAGGTGGCAAGTAAATATCAGGATTTGCATCTCATTTTTTCTCTTAGGGCTATAATAAATATTAAATAAAATACACTATATATCTAGTATAAATTATTTTTTAGTAATTTTGGAGATACAAAACCAAGTTTTATTATTTATTTATGTGTACTAAAAAAACACCCTTCCATTGATCCTGCTACTAATATGTGGATTTATAAAAATAAGCTAAACTCCCAAATATTACATTTATAAGAAATATAATAATAAATACATTTTTAACAGTGCTTTTCGGATACAAAAGACTTCTCTTCCAGCTTTCAAATGATAACTGAAGGATAAAGCAATGCCCGGGTACTGCATTCTTCAGTGTCTGATTGCCGTGTGTAATTCAAGAACGCATCTCTTGAGTCAGCCAACCCGTAAACAGCTGATCGAACACAGCAAACGCAAATGAAAAACGAGACCAATAATAATAATATCAATAGGCAATTATAATGCTAAACAACAAAACAGAAACGAAATCGCTCTTCGCTCGAATCTCCAATAAGAAGAATTTGCGGCTGTCGCAAGTGTCGCGATAATGAGAATCCTCCAGAGAAATGCATCACAAGGAGGTGAGAATTCAATATGCAACTGGCTGTGTCTCCACAATCTCTTATCTTTTACGTATATATATGTCGATGTATGTATGTATTTGCTATTTGTTTTTGTTCGCAAAGAATGTGGGCCCACTCATTAACATTTTACCGTTATCAAGGCTATGACTATTAGCAGTGTTCTAATTGCCGCTGTGTTTGTTGTTACTGTTTTTGTTGGAGCGGATCAATTTTGGAAATCCTCTCAACTTGCACAGTGAAAAAAAATCAAAAAAAAATACAACGCCAGAGGCTGATCAAAAATTGCTACCGATAAGAACGTATCTATGTATTCATTTTCATAAATATATGTACATATATTTTATTCGCATTCGTACAAGTATTAGTTGTTTGTTGTCCATTGGCTTTTTCGGTTTGGCCTTTCATTTTGGTTGGCTGATTTCAATTTCGCCATGACTCATTATAAGTCATTGGAGATAAAGACTTTGATTCCCTTCATTTTTTTGGGCGGGGAATCAGAAAACAGAATCGAAATCACACACTTTTTATGACCACGGGGATTTATCAATGAACAAGGTGCTAGTTGTTAACTAGTCAGAAGGTGAAACATCAGCCGGCAGAAGTTAAAAGCCAAGAGTAGTGAACCGTTTGACACATATCACCCCAAATATTATATAGATCATCAATCTGCATTAACCCTAAAACTCGAAACTCTACAGGGAACCCCCTATCATCATCCCCGGATTACGTTCTGGTTCTGGTTTTGGACTCTGGGTGTCAAGAGTTCAAGGGTTTTTAGCCCATCGGTCATGGTTAATTTTTTGACCGCTCTAATTGCAGGCACAGAACTTGACCCAACAAAAATATGGGTTCCCCAGGGTGAAAGGCCCTCAAAAATGGCATTTATTGAAATATCACGGATTTTGAAATATATTAAAAATGCTACATCAAAAATATCAAAACAAAATTAGAGCTTATTGAAAATTAAGTAAGGTGGAAATGAGATCATTTAGGGTACCAAGTGTTGTTTTTACGCTCTGATTTTAGGTATTATATAGAAAGATTAAAGATTACAAGTCTTCCTTCAAAAAAATAAATTAATTTAAAGATTGTTTTTTAATTTAAGCAAAGGAAAAAGTTTTTTTAAGGCCTATTAAATATAATATATAAGTTTATATCTTTAAAATATATATTTTTCGTATCTTCATTCTTTATGTTACTATATTCTGTGAAGTTGTTTCTGTTAATTTTCCTAATTCAACAATTTTCACAACTCAAACTTTAATTCTAAATAAATATCCTTTTGGTAATCCAAATTTTAGCCTTCATTGGGGTTTTATCCAGAACAAAAAAAAAATTAATCACTCACACACGGCACAAAAACAAAAAAATAAATCGGAGCAAAATATAATATTCCAGGACACAGTAAAAATTACCTTTGTGGATTTTTTAGCTTTGATATATTTTCAACAATTGCGACGGCATTCCAACTCACGGATTTTTCATCAACTTGAGCTTTGGTTAGATTTTTTGGTAGCGTTTTATTTATAATTATTTTGTTTTAGTTGTGTTTCGCAATAGTTTCATTTGTTGTTAATTTTATTGTAGCACACTTTCGTTCTCACTGATCACACTTCTTTGGTAGCTTAAAAAAATTTTGTTTTGTGCTGTCGCCGTGGTAATCCAAATTGCAACTTAAAAAAAATATTGTGTGTAGCACTCAGAGTGTTCGTTGTACTTTTTGTTTGTTTATTAGTTGTATTTTGTTGTATATTTGAAGAACTCTTGTATTTATATTTAAGCAATGTTTGCTGGTCATTCGCTGGCTTAACGGCAGTTAGTTTTTCTTTTTTTTCTTCTTTTTTAGGAGGCGCCGCAGATGGTTAACGCGCACGAGAGTTCTGAGCGCAGCCGCAGCGCAACCGTGTACCGTTTCGGGCAGAAGATGAACGACTGTGTAGATGGCGTATCTACCAAGTTGTATTTATAAAAGCGCACGTCGCTCCGCTCTGCTCTGCCGCTCTGCCTCCGTCGCTGCTGCGACGAGTTGGGCCGAGAGCGAGCGCAGTTATCTGCTCTGCTCTGCTTTGCTCTGGGCATGATGTGTGCTGTGGTGTGCGTGCTTTCCCTCTGTGGTGTGGGTTAGATAAAACTGCAGAGAGAGAGTCCCCGTGCGGCGAGCTAACTCGAGACGCCGACTGCGATGTCGACGCAATAGCAGCTTCTGCTTCTTTGTTGGATTTTTCTTTCTTGCCTCTACGTCGTTTTATTTTTGGGCGCAAATAGGATTACACACTCATACATTCGCATTTGGAGGGGCGCACGCATGTGCGTGTGAGCCAGAGCGAGAGGGAAATACCTCTGCTTTTTAGCCTCTCTCATCTTGCAGGAGAAGAGCAAGGCAGAGAAGGCGTTGACGCAGCAGAAGACTTCTGTTTCTTATTTCTCATCCCCCACCTCCTCTTCCTTTTGTGGCAGCTTGGTGGACAGTGGGCTCCAAGCCTAATTTTTGGAATTATGTGGTATTGATATTAGGGGGAGGGTTGTTTACTTATTAATATTTTTTTATTTGATTATAAATGATCAATGTCTAAGGAATAATGTGTGAAAGTTTTGTATCGATCGTAGCATTATTTATAAAGTTATTGACTTTTCAACCGGAGGTCGTTTGGTGTTTAATGTAAGAGCATTAAAAGCATTAAGAATTTAAAGGACTTTTCTGAAATGTCCCATTTTGGAAGTCAATGGTACATTATAACTTTAAATGGAACAATCGATTATAAAATAAGCACACATTATCTTCAATATTGTGAACAAATTTTTCGCCTTGTCATTTTTGCATTATCTTTTAATTGCATATGCATATTCATAAGTAGTTGTGAAATAGGCAAAAAGTTATTCCTTGATATTTTTAAAATGATTGAGACAGCTAATTTTTTATAGGCACAAACCGGGAAAATCTGCTAGGGAGTAGGCCGAACTTTTTTCAGTTTCCAGGAAAAACAATTTAAAATATTTTAAATCGCGGAGAAAACGTAGGCTGAGTTATTTTATATATTTTAAGCTTATTAATTTACTTTGAATTGTTTTTTTTATATTTAATATTCTTTATAAATTAAGTAAACTGCAAAGAACAATTATGCAATATGAAAAGTAATAAGATTTAACAGAAGTTTATTTTTTTCGTTTTCAGTGTGTAAATAGTTTTATGACACACTTGTATGTTTTTCTTTGTATAGATTTATAAACAATTATGTAAATTAATGTAACATAGCCTTTTTTGGAATCAAATTGCAAGCAAATTGTCTTACAAAATGACGGGGTTATACCAGGCCTCGCATTATAAATAACTTTGAATGAATAGGGTAAAACTTATAGTCACTAGAAGAGAAATCAATAAATGTTTATAACTAAGATAAGGCTGTTGCCATTTCATCAGTTTCATTAATATTACCATTAGAATTAAGAACAAGTATACCAATTGAAGGGACTCCACTGTACGCAGCACCCGCGCAAACACAGATGCATATAAACATACATACATATATGTATATATGCAATTGGATTTTTGGTTATCCCGTTGCCATTGGTTACCAGTTTGTTGCGCTCTCTCCAGTCCGCACCATTTTCCTCCCGCTCTAACTGCTACTCACATGCATGTATGTATGCATGTATGTATATATTTGCGGGGGAGATGATTTCATCTAGAGGAGAGCCGTCACAGCCACAGAAACGGGAACAAACGTACATACATACAGATGTATGTATTTATGCATATCCAAGTGCACAGTCACATCTATTCCATTAACCCCCGTGCGGACACTTCCTGGGCAGTTCCTCAACCTTAACCTCAAACTTTTGCCCAAAACGGAAGTCCGAGACGATCGGGTCTCTTCTTTACCGGTCCCTTTTCACATTTTCACCTTTGCGCCTTTTCGGGGTGCGTCATCGGCAATCAGCAAACATTCAAATTAACATCACAGCACTGAGGGAAATTCGTAGGCCAAATAAAATTGGGTATACAAAACGAAATAAAATATCTTCTTATGTGCATCTTGAGAAAATGTTATAAAATCAATAATTTTAAATAAATAATACAACTAATACAAACAAATATTTAATGCCACCTATAGTAATAAGCCCCAGTTGAAGGCCACCTCATTCAGTGCTCGGTAATTAACTCATAATTTTAACATCAAATCTTAAGCTTTATTTGTTAAATAAATAAAATAAGCATATGCGAAACACTGCTGTATTTCTCACAGTGCCTTGGCGGGAAGAGAGAGATGAGCTACAAATTTCGGCGTCTCAGTTGACCGCCTTGAGAAGAGAAGGAGGTGGAGGAAAAGCCAAAGAGTTGAGAGAGC